TAAAACACATCATGAGATATGGCCTTCTTTAGAAACGCGAAAATTCCAAAATACTCTATATTAAATTTTAAATATTACAAAAAGTAATTAAGATAAAAATATCATTTATATTATGTTAAATAGCCCTTTAATATGATATAAAATTTACTTTATTGAAAATAAGTTTATTACCAAAAACCGGAAATGGCTATAAAATACAAATAGCTTTTTTTACAGATGGACGTTATGCTTATTAATATTTGTACAAATTCCTAGAGTGGGACAAGACATATTACACTTTAAATATAAGTAGTTAAATCTTATATTATTCCAAATATATAGAATGTATATTTAAAAAAATTGGGCAATATATCTGAATAATAGCATTAAAACTAAAATCCGATTATTTTGCTATTTATTTACCAGCAAGAATTTGAAAATATATCAATTTAATCTAGTGATATCATATTTAAAAATTTAGGCAGGGCCCGAAACTCTTTAAAAAATATTAGACCCAGCCCGAACCGAAATTATACAAGACAGACCCGGGCCAGGCCTATGTTTTATAGATCTCTAATAGGAAGGCAATTTTTTATCTACCCTGTCTTTGCTGATTAGCAGAGTTGTTAAAAGATACTTTTAAACTGGTTACATATACATCGTCTAAAAATGTATTTAAATATTGATACATCTAATGATGCAAAATTTTCCCATTTGAGCTGATTTTTAAAAATGATTAACTAAATATTTTCGCCAGAAAAATATTGCCTAAGTCTCTAGATTTCGCGAATAGATATCAAAACTTTTTTGCCATCTATGAGCAAAATCTTCAGGCTTGCATAATATTTTTCTGGATAAAATACCGAATGAACCGTATTTAAAATTACTAGATACATCGTTTAAAAACATATCTATCTCGTATAAAATTTATTACGCTGATGTCACAACTATATACAAATATATCATTTAAAAAATGATTGTTAGATTTTAATAATTCATATACAAAATATATGATTAAATTTATATTTAGATTTTAATAAAACATTTTCAAATTTTTTTTATCACATAAGAAAACGTGGATTCTTATCCAAATAATTGCTACAGATTCTTAACTTTATATCTAGAAAATAAATTCTTTTTAATTTAAGGTAATTATGAAATATTCTTTCTCTAGTTCATGACTCGACTTGAGTTATGAATTTAGTTTACAACCGAGTCATTTGAGTCGATTTTTTCTACCCAAAACCAGGGTTGCCATGTCTTCCCCCATCAGCGGGAGACTCCCGCAATTTTTTAGTTTAAACGCAGACCTCTCTCTCCCGTAAAACTACCGGAATTGGAAATCTCCCGTAAAAATCTACCGTAATTTTTTAATTTCTCCCGCATTTTTTTAAAAGTATTTTAACGCTTTTAATATATAAATAATAATAATTTTGAGACATTAATTGATTATTTTTATAAATTTTAAATATTTATTCGAAAAACATGTCTAGTTTGTAAATTTCTTTCTATCCTGTTTTATTTTTATCCAATAATAATTCAACATCATTTCATTCATATAAGTCAGTACAGGGGAGTATATCAACATTGATTGCAATACAAAAATTATCTCAAAAATAATAAATAATACAGATGCAACTACATTTGCGGAAATTGTATACATATATCATGTAGTTCAACATTCACAGAGCTATATCATCACAATGTGGGTTGAATCTTTTTCTCATGATATTTAACGACTTCAATATAAGTGCAAACCTTACTTGTGGCAGAACAAAAATGGTACCTGAATCCTGAAGTTAATTCTAGACGATTTGAAAGATGGGCATCCATATACAATTCTAACAGATGCGATAAGGGAATATTAATACATTTCCCTCGATATTTCGCTATTTCAACAAGAATAAGAACATTTCAATAAAACTGTTAAAATTTTTCCTCGGATAGTAAAAAATCCAACAATGTAACTAGCCACATAATGGTAACTATAGCTGATTTAGGGTTATCAATGATTTGCCTGTCAACTTTCTGCGCTGATAATGCCTCTGTAAATTTTGGCAAAAACCAAAGTTACCTAATTGAGGCAGCACAATAATGAATTAATACCAATTGGCTGTATATGCCATATACTACATAATTCTTGCAAGAAGGCAATGAATGTAGTATCTATGGATGTGGAAATAATTGTGATGAAATGTTTTAACGAATTTAGTTGATCAACTAAAAGAATTAATGAATTAAAAGAGTTAGTGAAGTGGTCTGACTTGGAAAGGTGTGAGTTGTTGCGATATATACCTATCAGGTGGTTGTCATTAATACCTGCCATCGATAGAATTTTAAAATTTTACAAACCCTTAAAAAAATACTTCTTAAATAGATTTTAAAAGCTGTCCTAAAATTTTGAAAAATTTTTTCAAGTATGAAATGGCAGAAACATATTTGGGATTCGTTTCACATGTAGGAAATCTACTTCATGCAGTTAATATTTAGTTGCAATCAGAATATTCTTTATTAAGCTCTGTTCATCTCTACAGTTAAAAATTGATAATAAATTTATGGCGCTATTGCTAAAAGTATTATATCAAATAATACTCTAATTAATACATTTTTAAATGAAGCAGTTATTTTTATTAAGACAATTTTAGAATATTTACAATCAAAATTTTATTTTAATAACTATTTACAAATGTATAAATATTATGACCTTGGAACAGATACCATCAATTGATGGTTTTTATAATTTAATAAATATATTAAAAATCAGAGTTGTTAACGCTACTTTTTAAAAGCAGCTAGCTCCCGCTACTACATTTGTAAAAAGAGCTAGCTCCCGCTCCAAGTAATGGAGGGCCACTCCATAACCGCTCCTTTGATTTTCATTTTTTTAGAAGATACACGAAACAAAATCATTTTTTTTTTCAAAAAGTTTTATTTATATTAAATGATATCAAAATATTTATGATCTTTTACTAGCCTTTAAAAGTAATAAATTTTTTAAATTAGAATCTAACAAACATCCACACCTCTCCCCTAAGAGGTTTTTTGCAATATTAAATAAGCACTCCACAGGAGCACTAGAGGGAAGCGGGGTTTTGTATTTTATAAAGATTTTTTTAATTCAGGTATAAAAAAGGAGGTCGAACAAGTAATGAGAAGATTAAAATAAATATTAAAAATATATTTAAAAAAGCATCATATCTAACAACCGCTCAACTATAATGAATTGCCCAAAAATAATTAACCATTTTAAAAAAAACTAAAAAAAAATATAGTTATCATTTCGTATTTAAAAGAAAGATTTTTTACTTTTAGATGCATTTTTAGATTGGAGCTGCTCACTTTTAAAAATGAAATACTCTTAAACACAATTTGTTTGATCATTTGGATCAACATCTTTTAGAAGTTTAAAATATTTTTCATGATGGAAATGGAAATTCGATTTTTTCTTCTATGATCTCTAAATCCATAATACCGAAAACTATTTTTTATTATTCTATCTATAAAATAAATATTAATATGACTTTGATTTTCCAAAAAATTTTCAATATAAAAATGAAAAACTTGATGTATAATATTTAGAATGATTAGAAGAAAATAGAGATCTGCAAAAGTAGGCCCGGCCCGACCCGAGGGGGCTTCGAGTTGAACCGGACCTAATATTTTTTAATTAAATTCGGGTCGGGTCGGGCCTTAGAAATTTCTTAATATATATCTAATTTTATCAATTTTATGTTGAATTTTTTATGTAAAATTAAAATATGTGATTTATAGAAAGTAGACGCCATATAGCATATATCGTTTATTTTGAGTTATTATAAAAATTAATTTCTATATTCAAATAAATTCGGGCCGGGCTTGAAAAATTAGGCCCGATGCAGATCACTAGGAGAAAAACCAATATAAAACTCGACTCAACATTTAATAATGGATAAATTTAAATAAAATAAATTTAATTTAATTTTTATCGAATTTTAATAAGTATCTCTGTGAATGTTGTACTACAAGATAAGTGATTACAATTGCCGCAACTGTAGTTGCATCTGTATTATTTCTTATCTTTGGAGTACCTTATTATGTATTTAAACGTGATACATGATAATTAAGCGCCTATCCCTATAATGTTATACACACGCGGTAGATTTCCAATTCGCAATTTTTAATTGTAAAATTAAAATCGTTTTTTATATAAAATTTTATCTTGTTTACATTCTTTTATATTTAAAAAAGATCGTTGGTTTTTTTTATATAAATTAATATATTTTAATAAATCAAGTTGTTATTTTATTTTGAAAAATAGTTACGACTTTGTATTTATATAAACTAATTATAAAAAATAATAGGCTGATAATTAAGTCAATTCAAAACCCCGGCCAGGCCCGCAAAAAATTTTTTTTTAGCAATTTTTATATTTCTACAGCAATTTTCATATTTCTCCCGCATAATATCAAATTTCTCCCCAATTTGAAAATTTTGACCTGGCAACCCTGCCCAAAACCCAGTTTTACGTTCCTTTAGAGTATAAAGCACCTTTTATTTGAATATTATATAATGACTAATGAATGAATTTCAAAAGAGCACAATAAAATGTTCACTCAACATTTAATATAATAATTATATTATTTAAATATAAGTTTATTAATATTTTTTTAAACAATTTATGCAAAATTAAAGACACTCCACTGCACTTCATCATAAAATATTACTACTGAACCTGGAGTCAAATTTAAACCCAATAAAAAAGTTAAAAATGGTTTAAATTACATATATAAAAAAAATATAATTTTTTATTTGTGATCAATAACTAATTCTTTTATATAAGTTGACACTTTTGGTCATCTAGGAAACCAAAATTTGGGTTTCTTTGTTTCTAATTTTTTATACAAGCTATCAAAGATTAATCAATGAATTTCTTAAACTTTAACAGTGCAGATAATTTTTATTAAGAGATATAATCATTCTTTTTTTGTTTCTAATTTTACTATAAATATTATCTCTACCCCCCCTATATTTAATAGAAATATGTCCAAATTTAAAGAAAAATATGGTTAAGGATATGTTCAAATATTACCTAAGCAAAAATTCCAATATAACAGGAATTGATGAAATCACACATGATTTGGTATATTTTATTATAATATTATACATTGATTTCTTCAAATGTAAATAATCTATAGATTAAACTCTGTTTCGATGAATATCCTCACGTAAGACTGGATTTCATTAAGTTGCTTTTAGATTCATATTTGGATTATTCATTGTATTGGTCCTACAAATATGGTTATAAACCAAATTTGGTAAAAAAAACAAACTTTTTTTAAAATTTATTGCACTCTATATATTTTAAAATAGTTAAAACCATCTATCAATAAAACCAGGGTGTCCTTCCTTTCTCTGAATAAAATTATAACCCCTCAATCATTTGTTGGTTCTTTGTATAAATTGGATGCCATGGAGGAAACGAAAGTCATAAATAACTATCACTATTTGAAGATACACTCCAAACACATACATCTGGTTGAAAATATTCGCAATTTTAAAACATTTTTATCTACATTTAAAGATGAGGTTTGCATAATTTGGAACATAAATATATTTTACACGAACATCTTGAATTGAGGTATGTTTTCTAGACTAGGAATATTTAATTTGTCCTTACATCTACAAATGTTTTTCGATTACACCTTTAAGCCCTTGTTTTTGAAATATTTATGAAAATATTAGCAGATAATTCATATTCTAAGAATCATCAATTTTAGTTGGTCCCTCACAAAAGCTTTTTTTATGGCTAAAAAGAAGATTACGTTAATTGTCATTAGATATATATTAATCGTTCTTTCCATGTCTGGCCAGCTGATATCTTAATTAATTGTTTTGGCCGGTAGAAAATCAAATTGTTAACCTTACATGCCTAATCCAAAGTTATAAAATATATGATATAGAATTTTGGTACTTAAGTAAGCTACACTAGAGAGAATTATGAAAGTGTAGTTGATGAAGTAGTATTTGTAAACTGTAACAAAGCGCTTTTAAATTAAATTAGTGACCGATAATTGCGAATGCGATGATTCCCGATATTTAATGTAAGAATTAAAATAGCATTTCAATGCAAGGCTGAAGGGCAAATTTAAATTTCTTTTATGACGGTTGAGGCTTTGCCAGCGGGCCGGGAAACCTGTATAAAAAAATTAATATGCCAGGAACCTGGCTTAGCAAAAATGTTTAAATCGAGGAGTCAACTTGTGCCAAAACTTTTAATGAGTCATCTCTAAATGGGATGGCTACTCAACACCTGGTCAATGAATCCTTTATAGTTTATTTTTATAACCGCTATAATGTATACCAAATGAGACTTTAGTTGCAATTTTATTTTGTAAATAATTAACGCTAAATGATGATATTTACATGAAATATCATTTCAATGCGTATATTGTTTAAGATATTTTTTTTGTGGTTTATCAGTCGAATATATAACCATTTACTATTAAAGTCATATTTGACAAATTTTGAGACGAATTAATTAAATATATAAAAAATAGGATATGGGCAGTCTACCCCAATAACCATTTAACCCTCCTACCAAATTTATTTGCATTTATTAAAAACATTGAATTGAATAAAAAAACAAATCAATTAGAATATAACCGCTATAGGATTGGATGCGGAATGGAACCCTTGCACTGCTCCGGAGCTTAACAACGAATCGCAAATGGCCCTCTTCCAAGTGGCTACTTACAAGAACATTTTTTTATTTGATTTGCTCAATTTGCCGTCTAATAAAGTAGGAATGATTTATTGCTGGAAGGCATTTGCTAGAATCATGAATAAATCTCGCATACTCAAGATAGGTTTTGATTTTGAGAAAGACATGTCTAAGCTCAGAAGCTACGTTGCTAAAAGTTGTAAGATCAAACTCGATTTTAGTCCCAAAAATTTTTTAGATCTCCGAATCTTTAAAGATAGTTTTAAAGTTTCCTTACTTCCATTCCACCCTGATCACAATAAAAATTCCTCTTCTAACGGAGTCATTTTATTAAAATCGAACAAAACTAGAAAAGAAAAGGGTTTAAGCGAACTAGTATTTTGGTGTTTCGGCAAATATCTAGATAAAAGCGAACAATTATCTCGATGGGTTAATAGACCTCTTAGACGATCTCAAATCATGTATTCGGCTTTAGACGCATTTTGCCTCCTAGAAATACATGAATTTTTGATGCAGTTTTATTTTATACATGAATTAGAATGTGTTAATATAAATTGTTCCTTTCCGCCATTAGAAAAATGGTATTATGCATATCCTACTTATTTCAAGGACATTCCTAAGGCTATGATGACAAGGCGGTAATAAGAAAAAATGAAGAAAAATAAGAACCTAAAAATGTTTATTGAATAAGTTTTATTGTTAGAATAATTTATATTATGCATTTTTGATAGAGTTGTAATTCTAATATTTCTGTTTATGTTTAATAGCAATAATATATTTATTTTAATAAACTAGAAATAATTTGTAATGTAAAATGATATAAAATAAGTAAGTCATTGAAAAACTATAAATAAATAAAAAATATCCAATAAATAATTTTATAAGTTATTATGCATCAAATTTCGAAATATACTTAGTGCGAGTAGTGAATACTACAAAATAAAATATAGATATTTAACCTAAGATATGATAATAAAATTCCTTTAAATATAAAAATGGCAGGATAAATGTAAGTGAATGCAATTTAAAAAGGTGATTTTGCAGATAAGCACTGAAATATAAATAAATGTTGGAAATAACTACCCTTGACCGACTTTCATTTTATTTATCCATTTCTTTTTTTTAAAATCTACTTCCTTTGAAGAAATTTTAGAAAAGACTGCAAAATTTTTTTTTAACTGACTACAAATGGGATGAGTTGCACCCATGATAACTTAATTTGCATTTTTTATCTGGGTTACAAGGATTTTTGGCATCCTTGACAACAAAAATTTCGTCATAATTATGCAAAGAATGGGCTGCTTAATTTACTACGTGAGCTCCCAATGGAGGCAGGTCTTAGAACAACGTCTTTAAGTAAACTAAAACATCCTTTGCTAGCAATTATTTATAGCTTGGTGGAACTGACTTTCAAAGCAGCCGTAAACCGTTATTAAAGACCCAACCGACATCATATATCATATTGTAGAGATCAAACCGAACCATGGCTTGGATATATTTCGGTTTTGAATAACCAAATATAATAAAATCGATTTTTTTAAAATTTATTTACAAATATCAAAATATAAAAAATCAAAGAAAGATTATGTTTAGCCTGGGTTGCCAAGGTTAGATTTTTTTCTGAAAGGATTTGTAAAACTTCCTTATGACTCCTTCACATTTGGTTATTTATAGATGGACTTTAATGTAATAAGCTTATATTAAATTTTTACATTTAAGATTTCTTATAATTGCAAGAGTATATTAAATATTAGCAAAATTACTGCAGATTTGTTGAGTACGATCTAAAATCAACGCTCCTTGATCGGTCCTAATTTTGGTGAATAGCCTAGATCATCGATCTTTAATAATAAGAATTATAAAAAAAATTATTACCTCGCTTCATTTATATTCGCCCACTCTTATTTTTTTTAGCAAAAATTATTAAAAATAAATGAACAGTCATTTTTTTTAAAAAAAATAGCAATATATAAATACAATGAATAAAATTTAACTTTAAATTTAAATCATTAATGAAAATATATAAAATTAAAAATTGTAATTCTGAAAATATCACCATAATGCTAAGATATTATTTTCACCCAACTATTTTAAAATTATATTCATATCTTTTGATTTCTGAATTAATTAATTTATTAATAATGATAAATTTTACTTTTAAGAATCATAAGCCTAACTATTATACATGGAATCTATATTAACCGTATCTATCTCAAGAATATCATTCATCCTGGAAACTATATTGAAAACAAGATTCCAAATCATAGGCGTAGCCAGGATTTTCCTAAGGAGGGGGGATTAAAAAATTACTGGGGCTTCGCCCCCAGACCCCATTTTGGGCGGGCCCTCGGCCGGGTTACCTTAGTGGCTTAGTCTATATATATTCATAAAATTTTAACAAGATAGGAGGTTAATTTTAATAAAAAAATAAGCTTGTAACAAATATGAAATATATTTTTATTAGTTTATATAAAATATAATATAAATTACTTGTATATACATTAATATAAAAGCATGGTAATAATTTATCCCAAACAAGTATAAGAAATTTATTTATAAAAAGTAATTTATTTATAAAAAGTAAGTAGACATATAGTTGATATTCCTCTATTACATAGAATTAGTTACAAAATACTAAGTAAAATTCCACTTTTACAGACATATTTGACAGTTAAAGAATATATTACAGTTAATATTTTAACAAATTTTACTAATCAATGCTCTTGATAATAAATATAGCAACAATTTGCATTCAATTATTTAACGCCATCTATTTATTTTAAATAAAAATAATCTTCATATTATTCATGCCACAATGGGTCCTTATCTATATTTTATAGTTTTCTGTAAAATATATAATTAGCTATATTGGAAAATTACTTGATTGTCATATGATAATTGATAAAATTAGATATACTGTAAATCTACGACATATAATATTCCAGTGTTTGTATTGTGCTTTAATTTTTTTATTTAATTTATGATTTAATTTTATCAATAGTTTTATAATTATATTTTACTTTTATCAAGATAAATAAATTAAAATTACTCACTTTATAAAAAATTATATTTGATATTATATTATTTAGTAATTTTATGGATCTATTATTAATAATTATAATACATTTCACTTTTGTCTTAAGACTTATCTTTGGCTTATATTCCATTTCTTAAAAAACATTTTTGATTCACTTTTTTTATATATATGCTTTTTTCCAAAAATGAATAAATTATGATGAATAGTTTTATAAAAAAAATATCAACTTTTACATTCTTTCTTTCAAATTATTGTTTAAGATATATGCATACATTTTTGGGTGTCAGGGAGTGGGGAGTGGACTAAGGGGGATATTTTTGATTAGCTTAAAATAATATTCACAAAAATAATAAATTTCTGAAGGGGGGGGGGAATTTCCCTTTGCCCCCCCCACCTGGCTACGCCTATGTTCCAAGTCTTCTTCAGGTATATTGTCAGGATCTATATCCTCTTCCTCGTCAACTTGACATAATATATATAGTATATGATTTAAAAACGATATTTATCTTATGACATAAGCTAATTTTGCTTTTCTACCATACATCAGCTAATAGTGTGTAAATTTTGATGATTTACGGTGTGACGTGGTATAGGCAAATCTTATACGAGGCAAGGCATGTGTCCAAACCAATTGATCACCCTTAATACACTTTAGATGTGCATTTTTGATGGTCCTATTCACTCTTTCAACCATGCCATTTGCTTGAGGGTGATAAACGCTTGTCCCCTCTGCATGGCCCCTACGTGTTTGTCTTAATTATTGCTTATTTCGTTCACAAATTCACGACATTGATCATTAATGAATCTAAAATATAATATTTTATTATCAAATTTATCATACTTTTGCTCTGCCATGTGCGCATAGTAATAAGTAGAAGAAACGCGATGCTTATTTCGCTGTTTTATCTATTAAAGACTTGGCAACAATATATTTGATGAAGTAATCAACTGCTACAACAATGTATTTAAACGGACATCACTTACAATCTCATGTGGCTCAACTAAAAGAATTTTAATGGGAGGCGTAGCCCCCTATCGGCCCCAAATTTACTTTTAAATGAATGGAAGATTTTGAAAATTGTTTCAAAGGTATATTGAAATCTTGAGCAGTATTAAATACTGGCTCCCATTTTAAATCCTGCCCGGGTTTTTAATTTTAAAAAATTATTAAGCCCACCCCGAATTTTTAAATTCATGCCTTTTTTTAACCTATTCTGGGCCAGGGCTGAAAATCACTCTTTTATATATAATTTATAAAATAAACAAATTAAGCGAAATTGCCTGAAATTCAAAAGAAAGTAAATAACGCTCAATATAATGCTTTAAAAATTTTCTAAACCAAAATCAATGAAGCATAAATTTCCTAAACCTTGACGACATACATTTTTCTAATTAAATGTAAATTCAGACAAGTCCCCTAAAGATTTCCCATGCTCTGGGGCTCGGGGTAATAATCTCATTTGTTTCTTTTCTCAATGGTTTCTTTTAAACTTTTGATTTGAAGTTTTATTACTCTTCCGAGATAATATAATTTTAATTATTTTTTTCGAGTAAGGGAGAAGATGCAAATGCCTGGTAATCTAAGTTTGGGCAGATTTTATGCTATATATCTATGTCAAGTGAGTAGATTCTGTTTGAAAATACTGAGCAAATAACTTTATATCATGTTGGTGTTAATAATATGAATATATAAAATGTTATAAATGTAGAAGCTATATCGTTTTATTTATTTTATTTTTCTTTGTAGGTTTTCATTCTTTATTTTATTAAATGAAATAGCTCATTTATAATTTTTTGCTCATTATAAATTTATTTTAACTATTTTTTCTTATTTTGAATTTATCATTCCACGAATTTCCGGAGTTAAATCTATTATTTGATTGATAATCGCTATTTTCATTCATATTCATTTCTATTAATTTATTATTGATTTGTGCCAACTACATTATATTTATTTTCCATTTTTATTATAAATCCATTTTCATTCTGTCGAATTGTATATCATAATTTCTCCCTTTTTTATTTTTAATCTGGGGTTCTCCGTGTTATTACTTTGACTTATCCTAGTCACCAGTAACAAGTAAAGTAATAATTGATAATAATTACATTTTTTTATTAAATCTGTTGCAGCTGGCAAACATAAAATAAATTATATAAATTTAAAAAAAATGTCAATCAATTTGAAATTACTTTTATTATTTTTGTATAAAGGATTCAGTACTATTTTTATATGATTTTTTTTAGTTTGAGTTGTTTAAAAAATAAAATTGTTGGAGTTCTAAAGTTAGCGTTGTAATTTTGTTGCAACGTGACCAGGATGAGATGACCGAGATGGGCGGAATTTACCTATACAAACAGGTAAATAAACCATATATATATATATATATTAATATTTATTTTTAATTAAATAAAAATTAAGCAACGAAATATACATTTTAGAAAAAAAAGTTGATCAATAATTTAAGAAGTAATTTTTCAAAAGTAAATTTTTCAAAGATAAATATATGGAAAGTCGGATTTTCCTAGTGATTGCGAGTAAGCGACTGTAATATTGATATAATAAATTTGGTTTGGGTTAGTTAATGGTATAAAAGGTATATATATGTATTATATAAATTGTTGCTGAAAATCGAATATATTTTTAATTGCTATGAAGTTTACATAAAAAGAAATAATTTTTGAATGAATTTTAACCCTATAGTTAAAAAAAATGGAATATATTTTTGATTGCTACGATGTTAAAATTAAAAAGAAATTATTTTTAAACAAATTTTAACCCTATTGTAAAGAGAAAAATTGAATCTTTTTTTAAATTATGTTAACATTAAAAAAAATATTGTTTTGAACGAATTTTACTATATAAAAAAATTAAATATTAAGTTGCTGAGATTAAGGTAAGAATTGTATTGAAATAAAAGAAAGATTATTTAGTAATGAAATTAATAATTATCTCTAGGACTGTATGAAATAAAGGTTGATGAATTGTTTTGAAAAAATATTTATAATTTTGATAGATACATATATTACACTACCAAAAGTTTGTTTAAATAGTGTGTCGACACATTTAAAGTAAAAATGGGACTGTGGAAAATTGTTTATTTTTAAATATTTTTTTTAATATGAATTGATATGTAAATTTAATGAAAATTGTTATATTTTTTGTATTATATATTTTTTTACTATATACATCGATCCTTGAATTTAAAAAAAAACTTATTGTGTAATCAATAACTTAATTTTTGTAAATATTTACAAAACAATTATTGTGTCATTTGAAACCTTATTTTTGTAATATGAATACATTTATAACGCATTTTTTAAATAAGTTTGGCTAAACTATTTATATATTAATGAATCGGTAACGTTCATTTGAGATATCGTTTATTTTTTTGAAATTTATATACATGTTTGTTTTTAAAAAAAAATTTATGTTCGAAGTACATAATAATCATACCTAACTCATTAGCACAAACTATCTAAATTATAAAACTGTATAAAATGAATGATATAATGATCTTAAATCACGTCATATCTGGCGTCCATAACTTTTAACATAGATTATATCATCATTATGATTATCCCATAAATTATAACCTCCTCCATTTGACTTTCCTAAGATTATAACATCATATGATGATTATTCCCTAGATTATAAATATAAACATGTTTATATCATTTATTGTCAATATCACCAAGTGAATATATAGGAAAACATTTCCGAAAGAGTATGCCATAAATCAGTAGCCAAATGGACGATTCAATAAATATCATAAACGGTTCCAAATTATATCAAAGACCGATACAATTTAAATAAATGACTTGATAAATTATAAACTGGGTCAATACTACAGATACGATAATGGAATGAATCCGAGAATCGTAAATTTCAACTTCATAGGGACCATGAAGAAATGAACACTGGGCGTATAAAGGGTGGACATGTTACAGCTGGCAAGCATTTAAATTAAATTAAATAAATTATAAAAAATATTATAGAAATCAATCAATTTGAATATTATTTATATGTACTTCCCCCTACCCCTCTCCATCCAATATTTGGGCTTGAAAGTAAATGTTTATTTAAAAGATACTAGGTGTACGTTTATATAGTACCGGCCTTTTATCTAATCAATATTTTTTAAAAATATATATGGCTATTTATATCTATCAAGAAACCTAGAAATTTCATTCACTCATTCTATAAACATATGGGGAAAAAGGATTACAATTCAACTTTGTTGAAATGGGTATATTTTTTTATGAAAATTTGAGCAATTTCACCTTGTATCATGTATCTTTTTGAATTTTTCATGATACTTGTATATATTATGTATAACCCCTGTCCCTAAGGAAGATACAGTTATTTTTAAACTATCTAATCTATAGATGTTTAAATATAAAGATACAATTAAACCTGAATGGTGACATAACCACTTCCTTATCTTGATCGCCTTAAGCTAATGAGGATCTCTGCAATTTATATTAAAATATTTTCTATTATGGACAAACTATTTTCTGTATTGACCATTTAGAAAATTTACTGCTAATAGAAAATATACCTTTAAAATTTTAAACTTTCATTTTATATATTTTAACATTTATTATTAGCCTAAAATAAAAATTCATGCTGCCTTTTGTGACATCATACATAATAAGGCATGATTAAAATAAGAATCCCCTTATAAAGAAGCACATATTATATAAAAATATTCAATTTCTGTCTAGCTCTATAATTAGAAAATGTTTTTTTTAAATAAAAACTTATAAAATAGTTTAAAAAAATCATATTTTTTTTCATGATTGAAATACGAATCCTTTCAAATTATGGGTTATTGTAAAATCACTAAAATAGATAAATGTTTCCAAAAATTTTAAAATTAACTTTTAAATGATATTAAAAAAAACACTATTTTCTTGACTATAAGAATTCCCTTTAAAAGAATCAAATTTATAAAAATAAATATAGAATCATGTATAACTTTTCAAGATTATAAAATTTTAATATTAATATTTTTTTAAAAAAATTTAAAATATAGAAAAAATTTTATATCACTAAACTAGGAATCCCTTATTAAAGAGGCTCAAATTAAAAAAAAATATATATAGAATTATATATAACTTCCTGCTAAACTCAATTATTTATATTGGAATATGTCAGATACAAGGGGTTTCAAAGCAGCCAATATTATATTTAAATTTAATTTATTTTAGCTAAACACCATAATTGAATTATATTAAATTACCCTATTACCCCATTATCAATATTTTTAAAAGATAGAATAAGAGAGATGTATCATCTTCCAGTAGTTGCTTTTATTAATAACCTGTTCATGGCCAATTTACTTGATTCTTTTTTTAAAAAATTAATTTTTTTATGTTGTCTTGTTTAAATTTAAAATTGATGAACTTAAAATACCAAAAAATAAGAGAGCATATATTTTTTATAAATTGGAGATTTATGATATTTATATTTTGTTGGCATATTTATTTTATTTTTATTTAATTAAATATTTTTCCTGCTGGTTATAAAAATTAGATCTGGTTTAGTACTGGCCTAATATTTTTTTTGATATCTCTATCAAATAATGATAAATATGGAATGGATTATCCTTAAATAATTGTTGATTTTATATATGTATTAATTTAACTCTATTATATGATTGATTTTTTTTATAAATCTGAGAGAGTCAAATTAAAAATCAAAAAATTTGTTGATTTGTCTTGCAAAATCCTCTAAATAAAATGTGACCTTTTTATAGATATTATTTGCTTCAATTTTTAAAAAAGTTGTCGTATTATAGGTAAAGAGTTTAAAAAATATATCCCAATTTATTAATATTTACCATAAATATTATTTTTGATTTTGCAAATTAATTTGTTTTTATGAATATCATTTTTAGCAAAAAAAATCTCCCTACATCCCCTATCCTGCCATCCTGCTTACTTCTTCACAAAAATGAATTCATTATGATTTAAAAACAAATAAAATTTTTAAAATCATGACGAAATTTTTGGGAAAATAAGTTTTTCTTAAAAAAAGTGTGAATCCTAAATTATTATTTTTATAAAATGTAATCAGGCCAAAAGCCTTCAAAGATAGTGGTCAAAAATTATCCCATTAAATCTATGGCTAAAAATTCCACCCAAAATCCCCCCCTCTACCAAAATCATATACTACTAATGATTTTAATTTGATAGTAACCATTTACGTCTTTTTTTAAAAAAAACTTTAATGGATTATAATACATTTTAGTAATTTTTTTTATTTTTTAAAAATGTATTTATAAGGCGCAATCACTTTTACTTAATGACTCTGCTCAAAATCTCAAAACCCTTGCAGATGGAAACGCATTATATCAAATTCTGAAGCAGATGTATTATGAATAAATGCTATGATAATTTTTTTGAAAATATTTTATTATTAAGTGACCCAATCTACTTCACGCAACATCTTATAACACCCGAATTATGTTCCAATCACACGGATTATAAAGTTTAAAAAATATTTAATCTTTCTTACTTTTCCTTTATTAACGCCATGCGAAGCTGGTTTAAATTTTGAATAGATATATTTTATAATTTTTGCAAGAAACAAGGTGCCAATATTCTTATTTGTTTTTAGAATGATCAAAAAACTCGATTATGTTCAATTAGTGTTGTTAAACGGCTCAATTTTTAAAAACCCCTTCAGTATTTTAGCCAAGAATATTATGATTATGCTCAAAGATAAAAATGTTTGGACATCTATTACAACATCTTTAGGCTTGTGTCTTATATTTTGGCCAAAATAAAAAATCTAGCCGGTTAAAACTATTGAAAAAAAAATTAATTTCTATTATTTAAATAAATTCTGAGCCGGTCAGACAAGTAATTGGAAATCGGGCTGGGGCGGACTAATGTTTTAAAAAAAATAGGCCTGATGGTGTTCCTTAGTCAACTTTATATTCACGCAAAATTATAATGAAAAAAAAAAATTGTCCAATTTGGTAAAGAAGCTCCATGACCACATATAAAGGATGTCCAGAAAGTAGGTGTTGGAAAAAATTCCAAATTCAATTTGTTTTTGAATATTATTGTTTCCGATTATGAATAATTGGTTCAAATGAATTTTTAGTCTTATTGATTTTACTTAATGTCTCATTTTGAGGATTAAAAAAGATAATTTGTTTTCTCTTCCGAATCTACGAATCTAGGAAAATTGTGAATTAAATTTTTTATAAAAATTCATAATGAAAATAATTACACACCCTATTGATTAATTAATTAAATCTTTAATCATGTTTGTTTTTTTGACCGAAATTTATAATTATATTAACTTATAAATATTATTCAGATCACAAATTTAAACATAGTCTTAAAAGAAATGATATTCTATTACAATCAGGTATATATAATCTCCTTATTCATTTTTTTTAATTTTATGATTAAAAATATGAAAAAAAATAAATTTATTTTTAAAAAAGATTTTGAATATTCGTTTAAATCAAAGATGCATACCGGACATAAATGCTTACGGTAAAAAATTTTTTTATGTTAGCTTGAATTTGTTTTTCAGGTGATATGTTATTTTATCAACTTTAAATCACTTTTTTAAATATGATATGAAATATTTAATTTGTATTAATAAATTTATAAAATTTAATAAAATTTAATTTATTAATACCTCATTTATGATGGCTAATTACATTTTTTTAAGTTTTAAAATCTGATTTTACCGGAAATATATTCCAACATGTTTAGAATACCTATCCTATGAATTGTAGGAAATTTTTCCTTATAACTTGAGTCATTTTAAATTTATATTATAGATAAATGAATACAAATTATATTCGTAGCAAAATTGTCTAAATTTCATAGGATAGGTCCGGTAAAATCAGATTTTAAAAAAATGTTTCAAAAAATGATATAAAATTGAAAAAATTACACATTGCCGGAAAAAACACAGTAACGATAACACATATATATTTTAAATTTATTATTCTAACTTTTAAGTTCTATTTTAAATAAGAAAGGAATTTTTCAATTTAAAATTCTATACTTAGAGCGATTTTAAAATTTTGAAAAATCTAATTTTATCGGAAATGTATTCCAACATGTATGGAGTAAACTACCCTGTGAGTTTCACGCAATTTCGCCGTGATATGTTGAAATACTCTTAATTTTTTTAATTCCTATAAAATTTAAAAATATAATGCTTGTTGTGAATATTTTCTAAAATACATAGGGTACCATATACTCTACATATGTAAGAAAATTTTCCGGTAAAAATCATATATTTCAAATTTAATAATAACTCGTTATCATTTTAAGCTTACAAACTTCCCCTTCCCTCTCCCTTCTTTCCCAAAAATGTATACGTCATATCATTATAAAGAAAAATTCGAAAGAAAAATTAAAATAAGGAGGACAATTCAAAATTTTTAGAAAAAGGGCATTTTTATAAAAAAAAAAGATTAAAACCCAAGATTATTTTTATAAAAATATAATATAGCCAAAGGTCTACAATAATTGTACCTAAAAGCCTCCAATAAAATTTATGGCGAAAAAATTCGCATAGGAAAATCATTGACACGTTTATGCCACTAGATAAAATTTGAATTAAATAATAAAGTTCCCTATAAACCTAAATTGGTTTCCACGAGAAAAATTATTAAATATTTAAGTTGATGAATTAAACGTTTTTATTTTAAATTTTCAAATATAATAAGTATAATTGCATCTTTAGTTTTTATAAACTATCAAATTTTTTTTGTTTAGTATATTTTATTGATTTATTTTAACTAGTAAATGTCTTTTATATTAGATGGGTTCGGTTCAAGGATAAATTAAAAACGAGCTTAACCGGGTTCCCTGATATGAAATTATTTCATTAAGAAGGGTAAAAAAATCGTTAAATTTCATTTTTTTTTGTAAAGGTGAAAGCGAATTTGATGATATGGTAGGAAAGTTTTTGCAGCTAATTTTGGGTTGCGCCGTCAACTGCGAAAACAAGCAAGGTTTTTATTTTACATGAAGTAGAGAATAAAGAAAGAAAGAAAGATAAAGAAAAGAAGAAGATAAAAAAAGAAAATATTTATACTCTAATTTCGTTTTATTTGGTTTCTTTTTAAAAAAAAATAAAATAAAAATCTTCATTATTTTATTCACGCAGTGTACATCCAAAAAATTTTACAAATGGAAAAATCTTGCCAAGAAGTCATAATGGATGCAATTACTCAAGTATAACATTAATTATACGCTCAATTATTTTATTAATTATTTTTTTGTTAAAGTTGGATTTAAAAGAACAGCAACCTACTCCAATCTTATCTCCTATAGGTGATACTCAATCAACTCAAGTATTAATTTGTTTATTATTTTTACAAATATATAGTATATTATAACTATGCTTAATAAATAGCATATGAATATTACAATTGTTAATGTTAAGAGTACAGTAGGGTAATGACTGCGTATGCCAAAGAAAATCCGATGAGCATTGAGGCAAGAGTTAATTTATTATACTTTCCTCAAAGTTAAGCTATATTTTTTTCGAAAACAGTTAAAAATCGCCCAATTACTAACTATAGTTAACAGTAGCATTACTAAGGGAGCTCAGGAGCTCGAGCCCCATGAATCCTTTTAGAAAATACCTTAAAAAAGAGTTATTTTGAAAATATATCATAAAAAAATATCCGTTTTTTAAAGTTGAGCCCTGATATTTAGATTACTGATAGTTAAGAGATAAGCGTGCTCTAAATAAACATTTTGATGATTCGTATAACATCTAGAGAGGCTCTGATTCGAGGATGATTCTGTTTTAATAATTTAAAATTTGTAATTTAAATAAATATTTTGGTAAATAGAATTGAAAGTTGCTAGTCACGATTCATTATCTTTAGAATATAGTTATAAAACTATATATAGGGGCTATTTCGATATACATTATATAGTATAAATAATTACTGTTTATAGATCCTATCTTTAAAAAGGTGACAATTTTTTTAAATATATATTTTTATTTATAAGGTTAAACACTTAGAACAAGAAGTATTTCGGCTAAAGATCGACAAAGAAGAGAGCGAAGGTAGGTGTCAAGAAATGTTGGACAAGGTATATAAACTTAATGGCATTGCGTTTTTAACGATACTCTATTTTTTTACTTTTAAATTCTACACATCATTAATTCCTTTCTTAGTTAGCCCATATATTTAATTATTATAAAACTGTTTAATTATTTCTCTCGCACCAATTAAAGTTGACACTTATTAACGAAGAAAAATGCAATTTGCTGATCGAAAATCAAAATTTATACAGAAACGCCACGCAGGGTCCTAACTCTGCGTACAAAAGTTTGTCTAGACTTGGCGCGTCAATTGACAATTTGACGGTGCCCTCCAGTGACGAAGAAAATGAAATATACAAATCTCAAAAATACGATTCTATGGCGAAACAGATAAATTCCCTTAGGGAGGATGTTTACAGATTGGAGAATGGTTCTTATATATGATTATATATAGTTATCAGAGTTGTTAAAAAGCCCGATTTGGGTCGATTTTTAAAAACAGTCCGATTAAGATTTTAGCCAAAATAATATTATGTAAGCCTTGAGATTTGGCAAATAGTCCAACCCTTTATGTCAATCAACCCGAATAGAACTTTTTACCAACACTAATAGTTATCTGTTGTATAATATTTAATCGCTGTTTAATTTAATTATTACTATTACCAAGTTGTTGATTTAGGCGAGGCATACTTTGAAAATGTAAAAAATCTTAAATATATTATTCTTTGCAAAACGAACCCCTCTTCCTCCCACTGAAAGAAAGGACTGAAAGAAGAAAGAATTGATTTTATTTAAAAATTTATTTTGATATGTTTATTTTTTTTTAAAAAAGTTCGTGACGATTGTGAGATACAACTAAATTTGGTCAAGAAAGAAAACTTGGAGCTCATGAAAAAAGTAAAAAAAGGAGCATTTATTCGGCTATAGCGAAATAAATTTTAAATCATTTTATTTGAATTTTTTTTTAAAGAATGAGGATCTCTTAGTTTCGTCATCCCAAGCTCACAAATACAAAGATGAATTGGACGTTTTACGGCACCTGGCAGAAAAAATTGTAATTTTTTTTTATAAATATAATTTCAAAAGAATGTTATATAAGGGGAGATCGAGGCTAAAAAATAAGTGGGGTAAAACCGCAGTCGCTCATAACTTTTTCACCTTGTGAAAAAGAAGGTTTAAATTGAAAAGATTATGTAGTTATATTTTCCAATGCATGTCGTAAATATTTTTGATTAACCCCTCTTGAGTCTTAAAATTTTTGACAAAAAATAATGCCTTAATTTAATCAAAATTTATGCCAGGTTCTGAAATGTTAAGGTTTATACAAAAAAAGTAATCCCAAGCTTTTATATAATGAATGCAAAATATTCATAGGAGGAAACATAAGATTAGTATTTTTCGGGGGGTGGGTTGGTTTTTTGATTATGCTCCTACCCATGGGCTGACCCTGTAGCACTCTAAGGAGAGTATAAAAATGCATATTTTTTCTAAATTGAACCCTCTATGTCAGGGTGAAGAGTTATGAGCCATTGGCATTTAGTTCCTGTCTTCCCTACCTCGGCCTTTACCTCGAAATAACGATTTGCATAGCTATGATCGTAAATTTGTCCACTTTTTTGATTGTTTTTAATAGTTGTAAATTAAGATTATATCTTAAATATTGTTAAAATATTACTTGAATTTATCTGATATATTAAATAAATGCATAAATAGAATAATTACCAGCATAAAAAAATCCTATTAATAATGTCGTCCATTTTGACCATTATGGACGAAAATACAATTAAAGGAAGCCCTCCCGGAATAAGGAAGGTGCCAGCCATTATAAATCAACTAACCTCTGTCAAGGGTCTATCCCTAGATTTGAATAAATGTGAATTATATTCTTACTTCAATTCAAACTATACCCCTGTTAATTATTGGCAAAGCGAGTTTTATCTACATTGGTTCACGCCCTGAAAAATCGGTTATTTAATTTTGAGATGATGGAATCGTATAATTTAATCCTTTGAAAGTGGACCTATCAAGATTTTTATTTAAAAATATTCCCTTTGTGCTCAAAATTTTAAAAATATTTCACTCATCCCACATTTTAATGTACTCTGACATAATTTTGACCTAAAAATTAATCTAAAAAAAATACTCAAAATTTATCCTAAAAATATTTTTTTCTTCCATAGATGCAAGCCATTTATTCAGCGGTTTAGATTCACACTAACCTATATATCTTAGTATAATCGCCTTCCGTTATATATTTAAATTTGAGAAGCGGTCTTGAAGGAATACTCATTATCTTAAAACATTATTCCTCCGGCGAGCAATGAAAATTACACTTTCGAATTTAACTCAATTTTTGAATCCAACTTCAAACCATCTGGGTTATAAATGGCTAGAAACAATCTAGTTCTAATCTTAAACGAAGAATTTACTTTGACCTTGATTATGCTGTAATATTCTATCTTTTATCCTTATTCAAACTAGACCAGATAGGATGACCCTAATCTCAGGAAGAATTATGCCTACTAGGATAGTATTAATATACCAATATTTTAAAAACAATATTGAGACCAATATAAGGTTTGGTCACTAATCTAGCCCTATTTTTAAAAAATTGTCAACAAACTTTTAACTTTAAAAAAACATACAATAAATGTATGTTGAGAATTAACAAATACATTTAAAATTTGATCATCTTATGACATTAGTAACAGGTAAAGAAAAATTACTATATTTATTAAAAAGTTAACCAAAATATCGATTATTTTCCCAGCTTAAATAATATATTATGTAAAGTTACAATATAAATAAAACAAAGTTTTACAAATTATCCATTTGTATTTAAATCAAAATTTTTGTATCTACCTGAAAATTGTAACATGCCATTTATGGTTCGATTACCGCAAAAACATTACCAATATGACCGAGAATACATTAATGATCCATTTTCCGCAAAATCATAGTTTTATTCTCTTTTTAAACAATTTTATATAATACTTATTAATAAATATTATTGAAATCTAGCCATCTCATATAGGCTCACGCTGGCCTTGATGGCTCATTCCCTAAGAGTTTGATTTCATGAAAGGGAAATGTATATAATGTTTTCACGGTATTGCTCTTAATTTTTTTAGAGTAATAGTTTATTCTACTTTATTATTTTTGCGGTTATACAGTCTAGGGATTATATTTTAACCGGAATCGACTTTCTCAGTCAGTAATTCCTTCCGAGAAAATAACGAGATTAAAAATTTTTTTTAGAAGTTTGCAGATTTATTATACAATAACAATTGTTGGTTATATAATTGGTTTTAAAAAATCGCCATTATTTATACTTTCCAACTCTGTCTCTTAATGAATTTTTTTCCCTGTCCCCTAGATCTACCCTCCTGTCGGGTTTATCATTTTTTGCAGACCTCTAGTAGAGATAAATGGACTTTTTAGTACTGCCTGTTAAAGTTCCATATTAATTGTTCGACTAATCTAGCCCAACTTTTTGAAAGTCCTTTCCGAATAAGATGAAAAATAATGAAATTTTTGTATTTGCATATAGAAAAGTATTTTATAAAACATTGAAAGGATAATTTATTTTGCCTAGGCTCTGCCTGAGGGAACCCTAGGCCGGCAAGGTCTGGTGGAAGACTCCTTACAGGACTCTAATTTATATATATTATTTATAAACAAAAGAAATTTATTGCAATATTTAAAAAAAAAATTTTTGATTATTTTTTTAATGTAGCCGAAATACGAATCTACCATTGACACTTATAAAAAAAAGCTGGGTAACATTTATTTATTATTTTTTCAATATAAATGCTGTTTTTTAAAAAATATTAGCATATTTTTTTAAAAAAAGAATTCAAAAATAATAATAAAAAAGATTATATTTTAATATGTTTTATTTGAATTTTTTTCTTTAAAATAAATATTTTGTATACTATTCTACCGATGAATGCCGAAATCCGATAAGCAGTGAGACGCTAGTTAATTTATTTCTGCGCTTTTTAAAGTTGATCTATATTTTAAACAACATACTGTAGGTGGAGTGCTAGTTTTTGACTAAGAACTAGGTTGAGCCGGCTAAAAATAGAGAATTTACCCAATTTTGCCCAGTCAAAAATGGTTAAACTTTGGCTGATATAGTCCATGAATAGAAACATTTTAATAAGATTTTGGCAGGGAGGGATGGACCCAAAGAGATTAAGATGACACTTTAGTTTTCAATTTTTAAACTATTTATTGCAAGATATTTCACTTATTAAATATTTCCATTATAAAAATTAATAATCGAATATTTATCGAATCACATTTTATAAGATGCCTTATCGTTTACCAATAGGGTCGATATACTGGAAGAAAAAAATGCTGAATTAAACAAAAATTTAGCGGAAAGGGATGACGTAATATTTATTTGATAAAATTCAACACTTTTAAATTTGCCAAATTCCTAAACGTTCTCTGTAAGTATCAAATCTTTTTTAAGGCACTGACTTTATCAGCTTTTATCATTTGGCAGCTCTAAACTTTCAAATTATAAAATATTTTAGGCTTTCTGAGAATGCTGCTCCTCCATAACGATGCTGTATTTAGGACTTCTATCAAATATTTACTATATATGTGTATATATAATATAATTAAATGATAATTACTGGATTTTTTAAAATTAAAATTATTTTTTGATAAAAATAATTTTATGTTATTTTGCAGAAACTAGTAGAACTAATACCTAGCCTTTAAAAATATATAATATTTTAGAGGAATATAATTAAATATTAAGTTTTCCCCAGGCAACAAGAAACAACATACCACGGCGAATAATAACACAATAATCCTAATATAATACTGCCATTCTTCCAATATATCAATAAATTAAATGATATTTCATGCTATAAAATTATATAACCCATTTAAAAAAAATAAATAAAAAAGGATAAAAGAAAATTGAGTACATTGAAAAATGAACTAGACTCCCTAAAATTTAAGCATAGGGAAATTCTAAATTTGCAGGAATTCGAAAAACAAAGATTGGAGAAAGTCATGGTCGAAAAAATAGATTTACAAGATAATTTTTCCAAAATCGAAACTCATACACAGGTTATTTAAATATAGCATATTTTAGAAAGAAAGAAAATAAATATATAATTTTCAATATTAAAATCCAAAATATTTGATTAATCTTATAAAAAAAAATTCGCCATAGAATCTCATGGCAGAAATTAAAAAGTTGAAAGACGAAAACGACTACTTAAATCTGTGCTTAGGTAAGATTTTCCTACATTCTTTTTGATTCTAATACTATATTTTTTTTAAAAATGTCTTCATTATATTGAATATTTATTTTGTCAAGGTAAGGACACTGTTTCAAATAGTTTATCAAATTCTACTGAGCCATCACCCATTGAAAGAATTGAGTACGTTTTATATCTTACCTTTTTATTATATAGCGCATTATTATTCCTTTCATAGACTATCTGATATCGTTACCAATGGTGCTAACAAAAGTAAAAAAAAGATTAATTAATATTCTATAAAAATATGCCGCTGCACCACAATTCCTTTATTTGACTTTTTCAGAAATTAATCATGTACCAACAGCTCATAATATTAAATAAACAATAGGCGTTTTTTAAAATTTATAAATAAGATGAGATTCTAATATTAATAGCAATTAAAATTCTTTTGCCTCGAACAAATTTTGAAATGTCCGATTATACGGTTTGCAGTGAGCCGGCGACATACCTTATTAAATTTTTTAAACCTTTTTTGATTGGATTTATATTCATTTTTTTTCTCTCTCTCTTATTTATATTCTAGCGCCTTTAAATGACAACTCTGTACTTGAATTTAAAAGGGAAATCTTAAAAGTAAAGGCCGAAAAAGATGAAATGGAAAAATTTTATAGTTCTCACCTAGAAAAGGCTAAAAAGGTTTAAAACTTGTATAAATATCCCTTATAATAAACCTTAATCCAGATATCTTACTTGTAAGAATCAAGATAATATTTAAGTGTAAATTAATTAATAAATCAACTTCGTTGTCATATTCTATTTTCATTAATGATGATCAGGAACTTCCCATACCTAATTTAGTATCATCTTCTCTAGTTTCAACAACCTTAAATCATAAAAACTATATTCAATTGTCATTATATTTAAAAAAAATAAGATAATCGATATATTAGAAGACAAAAAACAACCAAATGGAAGTTCGTCACAAGATGATAAAGATGCCATTATTAAAGAGTTGACGGTGAATTAAAAAAATAATTTTATACTTTTGAAGGATATGAATTAATAATTAAATATTTGCGAAATCAATAATACAAGAATTAGCGCTGTAAAGTAACGTCATTACTAACAACGTTACCTTTTTCGAGGAAAAGGAACGCCATTCGTTACTTGTTTCAAATGGTAAAGGTACCGCGTTTTTTTTGAGTAACAGTAACCCAAAACATTACTCGTTACTCTTAAAAAATATTAAAGATATATATTATATTTTATTATATGTTTTTAAAATTTTATAAATAATTAGTTTTTAATTCTGATCAACTACCAAAGTTCTTTATTTTATTTATTATATTTTTGGTGTTGAATTTTATACAGTCAATATTGATAATTTAATTAATATTGAATCAATCAAGGTATGTTAATTTATATTCCCTAATATTATAATTTATTTTATAAATAATATATCTAGTACTTATTTCTTCAGGTGAAAATGATTTCTGCCATGGCAACATTTATTACACAAATAAAGAAAATTAAGGGCACTACATCTTTTGTAAATGTAGATTCTGCTCTAATTCAAATATTTCAACCTCTATGTCCAGCAATGCAAATCTAAGGAAATATTTAAATATAGAAATATGAATTCACATTAAATTCTAATAAAAATAAGAAAAATTAATGAGGGTCTGAATGAAGATTTTTGTGAAGATGATGTAATAATTCGTTTTTAAAATAATGATCATTCTTTAAATATTTTAAATAAATTCCTCCAATTAAATTTTTTATTTATTAAATATAATACAAACTCCCATTTTCTGCGCAAGTTGAACGAATGTTAAGCACAATCGTTCTGATCAAAGTTTTGAAATCAATTGTTAAAAATAAATAAAAAAATAATTACAAAATGAACTAATTAATTTTTGTATAATTTATTTATCTATGGGAAAAAAAATAAATAAAAAGAGAGAAAATTAATATATATTTAGTATTTTTTAAGTAACGAGTAACGCGCTATTTTTTTTCGAATAGCGAGTAACGCGTTTTATTTATCACAAGGTAAGAGTAATGGTAATGCTTTACTTTTTAGAACCTGAAATCATCTATTTCCACCTAGCCAGGCGCAACATATAAATTATTTGTTCCTTCCCACACCACCCGAATTTATTTGGAAAGAAAAATATAATTAAATTTGCTTATTTTTTAATTTATTTTTTGTATTTTTATTATCTTTATATATATATATAAAGCTGTTTAAAAAGCTATAAAATTTAAAATAAATAAATATTATAATATAATTAATTAAAAATATCAACTGTTCCCAAAAGGAGCAATAATTATGTCTGAATATTTCTAGTTCAATTTTTTTTCTGATAAGGGGAGGAATTCCTTAGCCTAGTTGTGAGATGTCTTATTTTGAGGCCTAGGGTTTTTAAAATATGTTTTAGGCCATTTGTGGAGATGACTATTGGGTAAATATAATATTGTTGAGATCTTTGTATTTTTTATTGTTTCTTGTTTCGGCTTGGGTTAAGAAATTTATGTTGGTGTTAGAAGGAAAAGATGAGACACAAATATAATTTCATATTAAAGATCTAATGAATTGAAGTTATTCCGTCAGGTCTTATTCCATCTGCGGGGGGGGGGGGGGTAGTTGGTAGGCTCAAGATGGTTAGGTATGTGAGAGGCTGTTAAACATTTGTTGATGACATGATTTATGGAAGTGTTGTCTTGATGTTTACCTTGACTATTTAAACAATTCACACCATCTGCCTTTCGAATCTACTGGGGTATTACATTTGACACAAGTGTGAAGCTAGAGGATGTCACACCCTAAGCGTAAACCGATAGCAACTCTCAATTTTTCATCTGATAAGAGATTACCAAGTTTACCACTAGGTAGTGCTTCTGGCCATTTGTGGCCACTATCTTTTGATTGGAAAAGTTGTATACAGTTTAGCTGGATTGACAGATATGGTTGTTTGAAAGTTGTGTATAAATGGTATGAAATGGTTTTTGTAGGTGTTAATTTATGGGAAAGGAGTGTTTGGGAGTGAGTTGGCCTCCCATCTTTTGTTGTGTCAACAAATTCGATGAGGGATATAAAATCTGAGATCATTGAGTTGTTTGTATCTGGATTATAAAAAGAATGATAACCCTAGAAGGGTAAGTGGGAAGAAGTCTAAACCACCCGATTTGGCAGATAATTTGCCTTGTGACCAGTTGAATTCATAATTCAATATTTAAAATTTTTTTCAACGAATATTTTGAATTTGTCTTGAAAGCACAAAAAATTACGATTTTAAATTTTAAACAAAAATGACTATTCTATTTTGTAAAAATATATTATATGAAATATTTGATTTCGATCAGATAAAGAGAAAGAAAGAAATTGAATTTATTTCATTAAATTTATTTATTTATTTTAGGATGAGAACGATAAACTAAAAACTTCACAAGAAATCATAACGATGGCATGGAATAATTTGGTAATATACATAATAAAGACTAGGCAGATGTTTTTAGCATGTCTTATTATAAAAAAATTAATTTTTTATAATAATTTGCTTTTGTAAGTTATCAAATATTTTTTGAATATTTACTTAGACCTAAACAATTTTAAATGCTAGTTAGAAACGTTATCTCTTATCGATAAAAAGTCACAATGAAAAAATAATAATTTTAAGCTTATCGGATTATATATTATGTCACATGTATCTAACCTAGATAATATATGTGTTTTGGGCGACAAGCAAATAAGATCAATTATTTTTGATCTATCGAGTTTTATACAATATTGTTATGTGTCGACCAAAGTAACATATTGCACTCAACAAGGTGATATTATATGCACATATTTACATTTAAAGCTTTTATTTTTAAGTAGTTGATCTTTTTACTATATTGAGAAAAAGTTTTATAATTTTTAATATAAAATTAATAATTAGGCTATGCGTATGTACAAACAAAATATGAACGAAAATTTTTCCTCGTCTCTCTGGTCACACAATTCGTTTCTTAATCATCAAAGAGCCATTCTATCCTTGAAATATAAAAGGCCATGAACACTTAGATTGTCAATAATGAGCTTCATCATAAATTATTTGTAAATTTGTTTAAATTGCCCGGATTTAAATATAATTACTTCTGAGCATGCTCACTATTGTAAAACTGATTCCTACGTTTGTTTATGTTTTATCTTGTATTTATATTATATAGGTATTTATATTTAATATAATAATATTTAATAAATTTTTTCAAATTTTTGAGCTTTTAGAAGGTGAAATAAAATCTTTACTTTATAAAAAAATATGGTTATAATAGCATATTATTTTAAAACTTATACTCTTACATTATTAATTAATATTATTTTTCTTACAAAATGAAGATATGAAATCTCAATCTTTCAAGTTACTTAAGCTTAACATTAGTCCTTTATATTGTCACACTATAAAAAAAGTTACCAATCTTTTATTATATTTAGCATAATCAATGTATTCATGAGATGAAAATACAGTTTTTAGCTATAATAACAATTTTACATTTAAAATTCCCCACATTTTACACATTATCCATCATGATTTCAGGGGATGGGGTGGGTTCCGGTGTCTGGGAATCTACTCTTGTCTTCTTTCTTTCCTTCTTAGCCTTGTTGAGCTTTATCTTTTTAACTCGATTCATAATTTCTGGGTTTTGCAAATATTTTTTTAGCGTTTCGTTTCTCAGTGTCTCTTCGGTCTTTTCGGTCACGAATTTTACCCGATTTCTTAGCTCTTTCAACTTGTCTAGGTATGTATGTATGACTAATTCGACACAGGTAGTCATAGTGGCTAACCCTACCAAGATATATACCATCATGAGGAGCAAATAATTTGTGTGCACTGGAACTATATCTCCAAATCCTATTTTTTTTAAAAATTGATTCAAAAGATGAAATTGTTATTTAAATTTTAAAACAACAATAAAAGATTTCAAGTGTAGGGGGTTTGAGAAAAGAAGTTTTTAGAGAAATTGAGTCTGGAAATTATTTTAAAATAAATTATCATTAATTCAAAAATAAATTTCATTTTAACAAACCTGGTTTAGGGGATAATCGTTTCCTCTAAAGTTTTGCATCTATAAACATAAGTACCCTTTCTATAAATTTACCTTATAAACCATATAATATATCTACAATGATCATCTTATTAATATGGATAAAGGGCGATATAATGGTAAAATTAAGTATGTTATTATAATATTACGCTATAAACCTATGGTTGTCATGGTGATAAAAACGAAATAAAATGAGTCGAAAAAGGTCCAATCTTCCCACAACAAAAAGGAACCAGCTCCGGCAGCCATATATAGTCCCATTAACAACAAGGCAGCGTATATCGGTAATTTGAGATTCCTTTTGGGTACCTTTATCCTCTTGGTGATTTTCCGCAATTCATTGTTACCCATACGCAGGACACTTACGGCATTTTTTTCGACTGTCGATGAGAACTTTACCCATAAAAAGTGGATTAGTTTAGCAAACAGGGTACCCAAATCGGCGACGACTAGTAGAAGAAGAGGGATACCGAATACTGCGTAGATCATGCAAAATATTCGGCCATACAAAGTTTCTGGGGTTATATTTCCATAACCTGAAGAATGATTTGGAATGAAAAATTTATAGTGAGCATTATATATTAGCATTGTTTCAGGATATTGATTTCAAACATATTTTATAGAATTGTTAAAGTATCTAGATACAAAAAGATGGTATTGGTATAAAGATACACTTTTATAAAAATATCTGTATATAACTAAATACTTTAGAGGTATCTATATCTATTTTTACATATATTTTCATATGATTTTATTTTACATTTTTTGTTATTAAATATCAGAGACCTGCAGGCCCAGCCCGTGTACATGGGCAGGGCTGCATTTTAATTTTTTAAATATAACCGGGCTGGGCCTATCAAAACCTAATATTTTAAACATATTATTATCTAAAATTTAAAAAAAATGAAATATATTTAAAATCTAGGTCGGACAGAAATTTTTCTTTTTCAAAAGTGGGCCAGGCCATGCAAATAATATGTTTGAAATTATTTAATATATCCTGGTTTATTTCACTGCAAGAACAAACCGAACAAATTGTATATTACGCAAATGACACAACATGGTAAATTTTATATTATAATTAATATTTATTTAAAAAAATATATATCATAAATTTTAGGTCAATAATTCTAGACAATCTCTCAAATGAAATCAAATATTTAGTAATAATATTTTTTTTGGACACCCCTTAGATTATATAAACATTGATATAAGTTGACACACATCAAATTTTGAATAATATTTTTAAAAATGAGGGCCACGAGATTTTAATATATTTAATGATTATACCAATATAAAGTTATTATTAAATCAACCACTCTGCTGTCAGGTGTGAGGAGTATATGGCTAAAAATGTCTTTACTGATAAACTGGGGTACCATAATGATAAAAATTTTGAGAATGTTTTATTATTAAAATAACAATTATTTATAATCATTTAATTATATATTCCGTATATGAATTATTAAAATCTAACAATCATTATTTTAATTATATATTTGTTATAGGATCAGCTCAATCAATTTATTTAGCTCAAGCTCACTTCGAAATTTGAATTTTATCAATAGAATCCTAAATTAAGCATTTTGCACACCTTACATAAGTAGAATAAGATTATATAGAAAAAATGTATCTGTAGCTAGGTACGTTTTTAGACAATGTATATGTATCTAGATTCATTTTTAGGTAAACAGCTCTGATTTTTTGTTATGTCATCATTTATAATATTTTTTTTATTGATTTAATATAATCATTTTCTTAATAAATACTACTATTAAAAAAAACTTTCCCTTTCTAATTGTGTAAACTAAAAATCATCAGATAATTAAGATATAGAACAATATTTCCTATTTTCTATACTGATTTATACCCCCCCCCCCCTTCCCCTACTAATAAACTTTTTATTATAATTTATTCACTACGCAAAAATCTATTAATTAAACATTTACCTATGGTACTTATCACAGTGGCTGAGAAAAACATGGCCTTGGTAAGTGTCCATTGAAAGGGTTTCATAACTATTATGTGATTTTGTATTTCAAAATGTTTGGCATTATTCAATAGCAAAGTGGCATATTCCGTCAATTTAGTTGAAATGTTTATTTTTTTGATAGAATCGTTCAGAGCCCAATCATCGAGTGCGGATATTAATGTATTATCAAAGGGATTTCTCGTTCTCACGACAAATTTAGTGTCATTCTTTTTAACCTGCCTCTTAAACTTTTTGGAGTTATGATAATCAGGCTTGGATTCGTAATCTTTATTAAAACCATTACCTATTCGTTTTTGCGAAAGATTAGGGTCATAAGTATCAACAAAACTTGAAGCAGTGGAACCTAATTTTGTTTCTTTCAATGTTGATGTGCTTGAAATAAGGTTACTCTTCCTGAATAATTCGTAAATCTCTTTCTCCTTTTCCAATATTTTGAGTCTGCTATTAAATTTAACATCTCTTTCGTAAGGGTGTTCTAAAGCGACGAATACAAATGCTCCAGCTATCGTATAGCTAACCAGCAAACAAAGAATACCAAAATGACAAAATAAAAATTTAAAGTATTGGTGCCACGGGTCCTTAGACATGTCAAGTTTGTCAAACCCTTCTAAACCACCGAATGTTACGTCTTCTTCGTCTTCAGCCTTTTTTTCTATACTTCGAAAATGTGTTTTGCTTTAGATTTTCTTTTAAAACTATGTTCATTTATTTATATAAATTTGAACCTAGTACAAATTTTAAATATTCCTGAATTTGTGAGGTGCATAGGGTGGGGGAGAGGTTCTAAGAAAGTTAATTATTAAAATTTTAGACAAAAGAAAAACAATTTTCATCAAATAAAATATCTCTTAATTTGAGTATCAAATATTTTTCCTTTATTTCGGTTTAATATTTTATTTATTAAGCCTAAAAAAACAGTTAGAGCGGATATAAACATACTCACACCTTTTTCCGTTGTGATAACTTGGTCCACGATTTTACTCATAGATATCTTTAGGTCATTTAAAATATTTTTTTCGTGCTTATCTTCTAAGGGCGTGATAGTATGTGAGATTTTGGTAAGCGATAGATTATTAGAAGGCGATATTGCAGAGCCCGGAGATGAAGACGTGGGCGATTCGTTTCCTTTTTCAGGCGAATCTGTTGAGGAAATATCAGTCTTATCTTTGTCATAATTGGATGTGCCGTAATTGGAATAGGGTCTTTCGTATATTTCGGTGTCATCCGAGAATGACTGTAACCTAACTATATCCGCGGAGAATGACTGTAACCTAACTAAATCTGCAGGATCCGGCTTTTTCATATTTTTAGAAGCAATGTCATCTTTGTCTGAAGGAATGGTGGTAAATATTATATTTTAAAAATATATTTATATATGTACGAATAACTCAATCTCATGAATATAGTCAAGTAAAGAACGATAGCCTGCATTCAAACGGTATAAGTTTTATCTGCCGACAAATTTACTCATCATTTATTTTATCTAAAATCTGTGAGCTGAGAATATTAATTATGCTAAACTTATAAGCAATAGACATTAGCAATAAATTTTAAATAAGCCCTGTTTCTTGCTACTTTTTATATGATTAAGGAAATAGGTAATTCAAAATTAATATAATAGGAGAATTGCTGTAAACAAATCTTAAAAATATTATACAAGTTTTATAAGCATTTTGATTATATTTAGTTAGGAATATTGTTAGAGAGAATAGAGTATATATATTATCAATCAATAAATACAGCAAAATTAAACTATCTTATTTGAACACTTAAGAATCTAGAGCCTTAATTTAAGAAACTGTTTAATAGCGCCCACAAATTGAGCTTGCGTTTTACCGTATTTTTTAAATTAAAAAAACGTAGCCCCTTGTTTAAATTAAGGCCTTATTATTATTATTATCGATCTAAAATTTAACTAAGTTATAAAAAAGAATAGGTTTTTGTATATTGTATTATCTCTGCTACAATAATTTTAAAATATTCCATTTATATGATAAATTATTTTTTTTACAATTAATTAAACAACTAAGAGAAAGGATTTTTAGTGACCCCCCCCCCCCCCCCTATTATTCTTATATATGTAACACGACTATTTTGCGAAAATTACCGAGTTCTTACGGAAAGGGTGGTAGACCAACGTGCAAAATGAGTGAATAAAAATAATACTAAAAGCAAACCAGTTTGCGTTTTTAAAATGGTTTTTAACTCCAAGCGGTAATTTAACCAATTTGCATGATACTATTTGAAATGCATTATTTGCTTTTGCAACTGCTTTTGAAATGCTCATTTTGTGCTCACTCTAATGCTCTAGTTTAAATGACAAAATTAAGTATATTATTGCAATAATTTTAGCATATCTTTAAATTAGTGAAGGTCAACCGGTCTGTATTCACTTCACCTACACAAAATTTATTTGCCTTTTTGAAACCAATTGCAAAAAGGTCAAAATTATTTATAATGACTAAATTAAAAACCACATCAGGGCTAAAAATAAAAAAAACACTGCTCGTGCTGGTTTAAATTTTATTTTAGACGGGGCTATAAAAGGAATTTTAAATCCAGTTCGGGCTTTAAAATGCTATTTTCTTCTGCAGATCTCCCAGATATAATATTTTATTTAGAGTTCATATTGAACGAGCAATCAAAGCTTATTAGTTAAATTAAACAGGAATGCAGTCAATTTTTACATAATTAAATTGAAGATAAATTATATAAAGTCCATAACCCTTATCACAAAAATTGCAGCTTGTCCAGCATTTCTACATGATTCACAGTATATGATATAATGCCAGAGAGCTTTAGATCATTATTATCGATATGGTAGGTAAGTTTTAATGGGAGAGTTGTGTTTCCTTTTATGATTGGTTGAAAAATTACTTGATTTTTTACTAAAATCCCGATCAACTCTTCTTTATAATTCTCATTCAAAAATTGTCTTACCTTATTTTAAATAAATCTTTGGCATTGAAAATACCTTCCTTTATTTAAAAAATAATACAAGTTTTATACAGTTTTCAAATTAAATCATAAAATTAGAGATAACTTACACCTACCTACCACCTACTACAAATGAAAATAATGATCGAACATCAGAATCACCTTGTTATTTAGTATATTATCTTTACCAGCTGATTAGTATGACATTAATGTTTTGACTTTTGCAGTTAGTAGAGCAATATATAATTTATTTTTTTAAATCAATTGAGATTCGAAAACTAAATAATTATATATAACAGATAATAAATAAGCAAGAAGATTGCATGGTTATATATATTAAGCGAGATATGGGATCATACGAGCGCTAAAATGAGAACAGTAATAAAACAAAACTATTTGAAATTCATTTTTTCGTTCATTCATTTATTATCACTACAAATATTATTTAATTTTGTTCCCCATATTCACTTTTACATTTATAATATATTTTTTAAAAAGGGGGTTTTTATTTTAACCCTAATTTAAATTTTTTCTGAAATAATAAGAAGAAAGTATGAGCACAACATTGCCCGGGCAAGTTTGTGTCTATACATGAGGTCGTTGTCGTTTGTGAGAATGAGGGTTATCAAACCGAATCGAAACCGTAATAAATCATAATTTTTCAAGCCTTATCCGTAAGCTACATTATAATATATGCTTTAAAAAAGAGAGAATTGAATTGTCACAAATTCATTTTAACCAATTTAAACCAGTTATGGTTTTTAAATTTATATTTATGTATATTAACATTTTAAAAAAATGTACAAAACAGTTTAAATATTGTTGATGTTATATTTATTACTTATAATATTCATATTTTATAATAAAATAAAGAAATTATATTTTTTTTTATTTTATTTTTTTTATTAGATAATTATGGGTCAATTAATAAAAATATATACTATGATTCTTTTAAAATATCCAAAACTTATTAAAAATAGGAGCAAACCGAAAAGAACCGCTATACAAACCGGTACGAATCTATATATGTTCAGAAAATAGGAATTAGATAGTTAAAAATGTTAACCAAAAAACTAGAATGGAACTAAACCCTTATAACATAACAATTCGACACCCTGGTAAAAAATAATTTTAAAAAAAAAAATCAAATTATAATTTTTGGCCCTATTATAAATTTTAAAAGATCCGATGTGGGCTATTAAAATTTACAGACTGAAATTTTTTATCAATTTAAATAAAAATTATATTAATAAATTAATCAGTTGGGGAAATGCTGAAAATGGAGCATTTAACAATTCATATACTCTAATATTTTTGGTTTTGAAAACAATTTGCAAAATTATTCAAAAATAATAAAAAAATTTAAAGATTCAGGGTCGGGTAAAATAATTAAAGTCAAAAATCCGGGCTGGCCAAAAAAAATGTGCTTAACTTTTTTTAAAAAATCCGGGTTTGGCCTATAATTTACGCATCTGTGGATCTCTGATATATATTTGATAGGGTTTAAAACTATGGTTTTTATTAGATATTAAAACCTCTATTATTATATATTTGGAAAAATTGCAGCATTTTAAAGATTATTTTTTTAGAGGGTAAAAATCACCAGGGATTGCAACTTGCAAAAACCTTAGACTTGAAATATCCCCAATCTCCCTTATAGTGTTTTTTGCCATATCATTGTTTATGAATTTTCCATAAATACATCTGAATAAATTATACTGCCTCTATTCTGTGTCACATTCTTACTTTGTTTGTTAAAACAAAACAGAACCTAGTAATTTAATTTTCTTTGGCTCGACCCAAATCAAAATAAAAAATACACCAGGTTGAATTTCAAAAATATACACAAGTTAGTGCATTAATTTAATCGTAAATTAATTTTAAATAAATAAGACTTCTTTTTTTTTACCATGATCGTCGGAATTATCTTTCTTAGGATTTCCGTTCAAAGGAACATTATTATTCCTGGCAACCTCGGGGTTTTCTTCGACTTTAAATAAAGGTATGGAATGAACTAGATCCTTAATATTTTTCATAATTTACATTTTCTTTTTTTTACTCTTAGAAGTAAAAAAACCTTCATTTACGAGCTTCATAATATTCCTCTTGCATTTATGAACGTGAAACGCGATTTAATTTTATACGAGATTTAATTATTATAATTATTTATTTATTTTTAAATTTCAAAAGGTTTTTATATTTTTTAAAATTCGAAAAATATCAGCTAAAAAAATATGAAATATAAATTTTTTTTAAAAAATGTCAGATGTAAAAGCAACAAAAAAAGAATAGTTTATATTTAATTATTTTTAATATAATTAAAAAGTTAATTTTAAATTTTATTGAAAATTCTAAAAAAAAAAAATTTAAATAGATAAAAAAAATGAATTAAATTATAAATAAATTTACAAGCAATATAATAATTCTTTTATTAAAAATTATCTAGAATTTTTTTTTAACGTTAGAATATCTTATTTTTAGAAGTTAAATTATTTTGAGATAACCTAAACTATTTATTTCAGTGGCGTTGTTAAAAGGGGTACTTATCAGGTCTAAATTTAATTTTCGCGTAAAATGTTTTTCGTTCGAACATATGATAAAAATATTTACTTTTTTTGCGACATAATAAGAATGTTACTGACCCGGACACTTATTTTTTTTCAAGGACCACTAACCTATGTAAGGTAAACATTCATATTCTTTATAATAAAAATACGGCCAGATAAAATAAACTTTTACTATCGCCCGGGGTCATTTCGATATTCTCAGGTATTGCATTATGTCGCAGTTAAATTTACCCACATGGAATCCAATTAACAAAATAAATAATAATCACCATACTTTATTATTTATTATATTATATTTTAATATTTAACAAAATCGCAAATTCTATTATAAAAAGGATCGAATTTCACTTAAAAAACTAACTATTATCATATCAATTTTTCAGAAATCAGTTTCAAAAAAAAAATTTGATAACAGATCATATATATTCTTTTTTTTTAAAAAAATAGTAATTTATTAGTTTTTGTAATTATTCCAATATACTTGTAATATAACATCTAGTTTTCATTATCACGTGTGGATTAGCTAAAGGCTAAAAAATGGCGATTTGATAACAGATCATATATATTCTTTTTTTTTAAAAAAATAGTAATTTATTAGTTTTTGTAATTATTCCAATATACTTGTAATATAACATCTAGTTTTCATTATCACGTGTGGATTAGCTAAAGGCTAAAAAATGGTGATTTGATATCTAGCCATCTTCGATCTTATGTTTTTTGGGCCAGTCGGTTACCATACCTAGTTTTTAATATGCTTTATAGTCATAATGATTTGAAAAAGGATATATAATTACTAAAAAAGCTCTTTATCATTTTACCTCAGTTTATTAACTGGATTAACCCTTTCATTCATGCTAGGCTAAAATTTGACCCACCTTTTTCAAATTTTATTGATAGTACAAAATATAATATAAATCATCCACCTCATTTATTTCATTTTTACATATGCGTAAAACAATTTTTTTTTATAAAATAAATGATTTACATTTTAAAAAAAATCTCGTTAAAATTCGCCAAATTCACATTTTACCCAAACGGATATTTTTAAAATTTATATTTCTTAGATTCGATTTGTTAACATAATATTTTATATATACATAAATATTAATTTTATCATTATTTATACATTATTTATATATATAATATATCGTATTTTAAATATATGATTTATAATGGGTTTTGTTTAATCAAAAGATAATATGCTCCTTGTAAATTTATTACATACTCTCATATTGACATTTCAAGCAAATTCATATGCAACTCAAAGTGAAAAAAGGTAAAATAAATATTTTTTACACATGCACTTATGGTTATTATTATTTTATAGATTTAAATCTATAAAATATTTTAAAAATTAGAATTTTTTAAATCTAAATAAACATGTAAATGGGGATAAAAAAGATTACCATATTGGAGCACAATGTCCGATTTCTACCATTATAGTCAAGCGAATGCCTGTAAATAGGTTTGTTTACCCATATATCGTCATGCTGAAACTATTGGCAGCGCAGAGCAAAAAATATTTTTAAAAAAAAACACAATTTGCCTAAGCTTTTTTGATAATTTTTCGCAATGAGAATTAAAACCAAATTACATTATTAAATCCTTAAATGATGCACATTATAAAAATGAATATACTCATAAACTAAAATATTGCAATTTAATTTATCCTCCTCGCATTTTTATATGCAAAAGAAATATTATATCAGTAATATCGAACGATGAGTCAATATTCTCTATTGAAGTTACAAAGAGATTAACAAGTCGGTCGAGAAGAACTACTAATTTCATTCTCTAGAATATATAGCAATTTACTCATTGGCTTGTATCATATTTGTCATATTATTATTTATTTTTTTAAAAATTATTTTGTTTAATATTTATCAAATTTAAAATAGTCGCCTGATTTTATAATCACGTGTAAAACTCGTGATCTCCAAAAGTATAAAAGGGACTAGATTTTATAATTATGATGACTTTTTTTAGTTTTTAAAATATATTTAATCAATAAAATTTGAAGTTGAAAATTTATTAATTTTAGTTTTAGAGTTGTGTTGGGTAAATTGAGTCAGTTATAAAATGGCGTTGTAGTACTGATAAAGTTTTTTATAGTATATAATTTTCACAATAACGATTAGTTTTTTTTATATTGTATAATTATCATAGCTTGAAGAAGAGTACAGAAAATTTGATTTATCATAGTGATTACACATCAGAAAAGTGAAGAATTTATGTGTATATGAGATGTTATGCCGATATAATGTATACATCTGCATAATAGTATATGAATATCTACTCACTTTATCTTTTTCACAAGCAAATTGTATAAGAACCTTTAGCATAAAAATAAGTAAAAATTGACTGCCAGCAAATATTGGGCAGGATTATTTATAAGCCTTTTTAATGATTCGGTAGAAAGGAAATTATTAGTAGAAATAAAATTAAATGAGATTCTTAAATATCTGAGCAAATGAATGAAAATCTTTATTATCATATACACAAAATTATACTTATTAATTTTTTGAAAAAATTTTTTAACTTATAAAATAGTGCATAATTTTTATTATGAAGTAATAAAAATAAGATAATTTTAGTTCTATTAGTAACCATATATCGTAAATTCCACCAAACGAGCCAAAAATGGCTTGGGTTTTAAAATGCTGCTTATTCATTTTTTTAAAAAAATTATATCAATTAAGTTAGTTAAAAAATGGGAAAATCATAAAAATATGATTCTGACCTTTACAGATATCAATTAATATCTTTTGCAGGATAGACATCTAATTTGGATTTAGATAATTTTTCATTCATGAAACACGCTTTTAAAATATTTATTTTGTCAAGAGCCTAGAATAAAGTCTGGTATAAAACATAATATGGTTTGATCAGGGGATCATTAATAATAAAGTAATTTAAACGCTGTCAAGTGATATCTATACTAGTGTTGTTAAACGGCTCGTTTTGAGCCGATTTTTAAAAACGGCTAACTCAATGCTTCATCCAGAAAAATAATATGCAAGCCTGAAGATTTTGTTCATAGAAGGAACAAAGGTCTATACAATATACATATTATCGAAATCTCGAGGCTTAGACTAAATTTTTATGGCCAAAAACAAGCCTATTATTTTATAAGCACTTTTCTTAACAATAAAACATTTTTTCTTCTTTTCTATGCCATCTACTTAGTTTTGCACCCGTTCGCTCTCTGAATGGAGTATCCTATTATTTTGCTTAGAGATTAGGGTTTATTTCCATCTTCTACATCAGGGCATCACATTTGTACTTTAGTCAAGTTCTGTCAGGCTTGAAATAAGGTGATCCCATTCAGAGCTCAAAGTGGTCTTGAAATTGCAAAACTTGGCAATTATTTTTTTTCTCTTTAAATTATCCAATTACAATTTCATTTCATATATAATTCTTGTGTATTCAATTTTAGAAGGATTGTTTTAATTTTATTTTACGCATTGTTTTTGCTAGTTTTGAACGTTGTTGACCTAATTTGTCAGAAATTGAGCCAAAACTGACTAGTTGTAAACTAGTTCCTAAACTCAAGCTAAGAACGAGTTCGTTTTTTAGAAATAAATAAAATAAAGAATTAGGGAAGGCTCGTTCTAACTAATTTTTTTGGTAAATATCCGAATTTTTTTATGTATAACCATTAATGAGAAAATTGTTAAGCCAACCTTGGTGTAAATTTAACCTTAAGCACGATTTCAGCAAATTCCTTTCTTTCTAAATGTTCAAAACCGATTTAAAAGTAAACGTTTAATAATTTCTTATAGGATTCATTTTATATAATTTAGAAATTTAATATAATACAGTTATTCATTCTAATTCTTCTTCTTTTTCTTCTTTGGGAATTTATGATTTTTATATGGACCAAAATGCAATTATCAAAAACCAAATCAGAAATAAATTTTAATACAATTACCTATATTTTTCGATATTATTTTATTTTAGAAATATAAAAAGAAATATTATTTTCATTTTATCTCACTCCTATGTTCCAATTTTTTAAGACCAAACCTTTTGTGTACGACTCCTTTAATAGAAATTATGAAATTTCGAATAATATCTATAAAATAGTCTCGAAAAACACTTCCAGCCTCTATAATATTTGGATTGGATAAAACACCCTTTTTCTTGACCAATTTATTTGCTATCCTTGCATAAATTCAGTCGTAGAAAATCCTTCTATTTTTATGGTCCAAATTAAATATATTTAAAAAAAATTGGGGAGAGGGGGCTATGCAAATGGTACCTCTGCAGGATTTAAATAAATTCAATATTTAAAAGATTTTACTTAAATATATCACAATTAATGATTTATCAAATTTTTATTACGAAATTGACTTATGATTAAAATTCCATATCTTTTAAACCTGTGCTAGGAACTTGAAATTTTGCAAATTAATTCTGTAGATATTCATAAAAAAAATATTTATTTGATTTTATGTATTTCCGGTTTTTGACATTTAAAATCTTTTAACAATATTTAACATTATATAACTTTAAAGGCCTACCATTGCTATATAAAGAAATTTAAATGACGCTTTTAGCTCAATTATATCCAATGATATTTAAAATTAAAGGGAGATAATTTTGCCCAAAATGCCGTATTTTTTCGACCTTTAGAAGCCCGTATCTCCGTTGCTGTTTGGAATTATAATTTTTTTTTTCTTAGTTATAATATACGCAAAATTTCATAAAAATCTGGGGGTCGTGTTGAATCTCATGTTGATTTGTCATGGAATTATAACAATTTTCATTCCATTAATTTGAATATTTAAAATAAATGTGAATAATAAAAGTAAGAAATATATAATTTTTGATGCGCATCTTCTGCTCTGATATTAAAAAAACATTTTCTAATAGCGTTTTCTTAACGCATTAAATCATAATAAAAGTTTTATCTCATTAAGAAGAGAGCAGACAATTTTAATTCACAGCACAACTTTTTTTAATTGTCATTGCCCAATATTTTATAAATATTGGCCAAAACATTAATCATTTTATAACGAATACACTGCCCCTTTGTTTAATTTATTGTTACTGCCCAAAAAAATATATAATAATTTTTTAGTCACATGATGTTTGTTTTCTTTTTCAGACACTTTTAAAAATAGAGTGATCTTTTTAGCACTACCTGGATGACGAGAATATAATAAGTTTTTAAAGTCACCATATTTATGAAAAGAGGACATTATTTGACTAAAAAAATAGGAAAAGTCTTAACATTTCTAGCTCTAAACGACTATTTATCATAATATTATTTTTTATTATTATTAGAGCATGTATTATAACAGTATTAGATAAATAATTAATATATACATTTTATATATATAAATAAATCCTGTCATTTTAAATTGTCCAAAATATTAGCAATTGTTATTTTATATGTACAAAACATGTGAATACATTTTCAAGATTCTTCAAGATTTGCTAGTAAACGGGTACGTAATTTTTTAGTTAGGTGGTTCATGTTATTGACTAATGCAATTAAATGCTTGACCGAATATTCCTTATATAAGAAAAAAAGTATATATCATTAATAAAGGCTTCATTTTAGGCTCTAAAGTTTGAAAAAATTGAATTCGAAAACTTTAATGAAAATAACGAAATAAGTTTTTTTTATATAGAAAAAAAATAGTAACATTTTTTTTTGAAAAGATTATTTTAATACTTGATGATTAGATATCCATTCTTCAATTTCGGATTCGGGTAAGTAGTAAGCCTTTATATAATTTTCTACAAACTCTTTATCAGGCAAATGTCTAAAAAGGGAATATAAAATAGTCGTAAGTTATTTAAAGATAAATAAATAGTAACTTTAGGCTGATAATATCGTCAATGTACAAGAGCAAATGTTGTAAGTCCAGCTGCATTAGTGCCCTTCCTTCATTACTGCATTTTTTTATCAACGAATATCTTTTGTATTATATTTTTTTATTTTATCGAAAAATATTTATTTAATTCTAAAATGTCAAATATAGATGATAAATAATAACAATATTTTTTACCCATCTACGATAGTTCTAAAAGTTATGCTGATGAGATTTTGCCAAAGTAAATCCCTGAGTTCGATAGGTATGCAAACCTTTTCTGGGTCGTTATTAATAAGCGAAAGCTGAAGCGAGAAGTTTTTGAAGGACTAATCATATAGTGTTTAAAAAATAAATAATCGTGCAATTTAAATTATCGCTATTTCTAAAACTCTTGGAAAGAACTATCTGAGTCTAGTCACACCAAAATTAATTGGGAGTCGGATCAGTCCGGACATTTTATATTAATTATTATTACCCATTGTTAACAAAATACAATAATTTTTTTAAAAACAAAAAAGAAACATATAAAATTCTTTTGGTAAACCTAAAATACTAATAGTTTATTATATGATATTATTATAATATTTAAAGTTTGAATAAAAATTTCATTTACGATTATAAAGATATATAATTGGAGGGAGGGGGGAGAGGACAATATTTTATTCATTAGCAAAGGGAAAAAATAAATAATTTTAAAAGTAGCAACTAAAATTACTAAGCTACATTTAAAATTTAATAGATACAGCACGCTATTTTTTTGAGAAGCGAAGCTACTTTTTGGGGAAAGTAGTTGTAGCTATAGCGAACTACTTTTTAAAAGTAGCATTAACAGCAATGATAGTATGTTAAAGAAAAAGCTATATATGCACGCAATAAAATAATAGTTTTTATATAATATTTTTTTAAAAACCTTGATGATGTAATTGATATAGGTATTGTGTTGAGACATCAGTTCTTTGATGTCCCATTTGGCTCCGTTAATTATCATGCCCACGATATGATTGTAGTTAACGACGTATAAGCTAATTATGTAGCATGCTAATCTTTGCAGCTCGAAAGGCAGGGAAAGGTCAATGGTAGCCTGATGATATATTAAATCGTTTAAAAAAATATATATCATTGTAAATATAGACAAATCTATTTTAAAAAGGGTTGAAAAAATAAGAACCAGTATATCCCTTCATTTATTTTATAAAATATTTTTATCACCAGCCTATATATTACATATTCAGGTCTCTCTAAAGAGGAGGAGATTTTTTTCATTTTCAAAAATATAAATATACTTGATTTGGTTCTTGGATCAATACTACCACGTCGTTATTAGCTATTATGCCCTTGGGATAATTTGCTTTACTAGCAGAGCTACTATTTAAGCTAATGTGTCCGTTCATTTTAGCGAATAATGCCGTGGCCAGGTAAATGAGAGATTCGGTGGATACACTCTGATCCATTAAGAGTTGATTCAGAATATTTTGATCGTATGAGGAATATCCATTGCTTACCCCTTCGCAATTGGGTATTTCGGCTACAATTTCGGTGGTCAAAGCTGAATTTTGAGTGGGCATTGATAGTTTTTTGTCAGCGGAGTTTGAGTTAAGGTAGGAATTGTGAACGTTAATAATATCTCCGGCACTATTTGAAATATCGTGGGTATAATTAGATGAATCGATTTGGGATAGAAATGGGTTGTAGGACTATGAGAGGTTTTATTTTATTTAAAAATATCATTTAGAGTATGATAAAATTTGTAGGCATAAATAAGATAAAAAAGATGTTTTAAAAAGTTAATCTCTATTTAACTCTGGTAAAAAAAAAACATTTTGAATAAATAATTTAAAAAAAGATTATTTCGTTCCTTCCTTCTACAGAAAACAAGATGTTTTAATTTTTAACGGTAAGTAACTTTAGGGAAATCAAATTGAATATTGTCAGCGAATATGTGTTCATGTATTTGAGCTATACGCGCGTTAAGTCTGTTGCTGATCAAATGTCTGACTATTTGGTACTAAAAGGAAAAGTAAGTATAAAAAAAAATTTGGGGAAGTTAATTGTAATATAGAGGTATCCGTAACCTAATCAATACGAATTTTACATTTATACGTATAGCAACAGCTTTGGAATGCGAGATCTTCATAGCCAAAATCTCGAACAGAACAAAAATAGATGTCGAGCCCGAAAATTCGTTATAAAATTTTTAACGGTCGGTTCGTGTCGTACATCAATTTGAGCAGAATATCTCAAAAATTATCATTTATAAATAATTGATTTCGATAAAATTTAAATATGAAATTCATTCTCACGTGAAATTTGCCTATAATGATTTGATATAGGGTGTAGAGGTAAATATCGTATAGTTCGGAGACGCATTTGTTGATTTCCTCCGATATTTGAGGGTATATGTGAGTTATTCGAAAATATTTGCCTGGTTGAGAAGGGAATAATTGAATATTAAAAAAATGAGGTCCTTTATATATTTTTTAGAGGCCTGCAAGTCTGTATCAAGCCCAACTCGGATAAATAGTATGATTTTAAAAAACTAAGGGTAGTCCTATAAAATAAAATGAAAATTACAAGCCCGGGGATATTTTTTTAACCAACTAGGACCTTATATGTAATAAATTTAAATCATATAAATAAACCAGTTATAAAAAAAATCACATTATAGAACAATTTAAATATAAAATTATTTGGAATCCAAATTTTAAAAACTCAGACTGGGAGCCAAAAGTTAACAAACCTAGGGCAGACCTGAACGTAATTTTTTTTATTAAAAGGGGGCGCTATATTAAAAACCCATGCCTGGTCTAAAAATGTGTACCTCTTTACAGGTCTCTGATATTTTTATTTACCAAAATTATAAGAATTATTTAAGTAAAATGATTTCTTACTATTTGAAAGTTGATTTGAATGACGAAAAAAAATTAAAATGATAATTAACGTTTCATTTAAGTTCCAAAAAAAATTTCTCAGGATTCAAGTAAAATATGCATGGTTAAATTTTTTTTAGGTAAACTATACATCTGTCAAATAATTTAAATATGAAAGATCTTTTTAAAAATTACCAGATAAACGCAATATATTCAAAGCTGAGTTAGTTAGCATCGGCGCTAAGCTATCCCTATTAGAAAACCGACCTTTATTGATTTTAGATTTATCTCTAAAAAATATAATAAAAACAATTTATATTGAAACGATCTTATATAAAAATCGTAATTAAAATAAAATTAAAATCTTGTTCATCTAAATATCAAAATATACTTACTTTAAAATAAAAATTTAGCCATTATCATATTAAAAGTTTAAAAAAAACTATCGATATGGTTTTATTCAATGATTCACAAATACCAAATAAATTGGAGAAAAATAAACTCGAAATCTTAAGGGGCAGTGATTGAAAGATGATAATAACAAAATATCACTATTATCTTATTGTTATGCATAAAATCCAAATCCAAATTAAAAAATTTTTTTACTTTATTCTCTCCATTATATCCTTACGACTATTAGAAGAGGAGAGGAAAGAAGGGTCGACCATTCTATTTTCTCCCAGATTTAGGGTATCTAAATTTGGGGTTACAACCTGTAAAATCATTTCATTTTCTGACGAGGACGATGATTCTTCCTTATTAATATATTCGCAGGGTTTAGGATTGTATTCCGAAAAATTTTCAATTTCGAGCGATTTTGTTTTATTCGCGTTATTCCTTGTAAGATTATTAAAATAAATTTTGGGGGATCTTGGTCCGGAAATGATTTTTGATTCGTTTTGATGAGGACTCGTAGCTGATTGGAAAGGATTTAAGGAGGTCGCTTTCAAGTATTTATCGAATCCGAGACAAACGTTGGTTAATTCGGTTGGATTTTCCGTCGATCTATTCGTCGCTAAACAAATTTTTGATTTTATATAAAATAGATTATTTAATTAAATAATTGAGCTGTTTAATTTTATAATTGAATATAGGTAAATATGGGAATTTAATCAATAACCCCATATATTTTCGATTACGTTTACTCTAACAATTGAATCTAGCGTAATTAGTTTTTTAAAAATTTAATTTATTAAATGGGATATGAAAAAAAGTTTAAAGTTTATTTGACAAAATACAGTAATTGATTGGTTGCCCATTATTTTCAAAATTTTATATAAATTGGATTATATTGACATACACATAGTGTTGCTAAATGGCTCAATTTTAAAAACGCATATCCTCGAAATTTTATCAATAGATGTCCAAACGCTTCTGCCATCATGAGCAAAATCTCCAGGCTTGCTTTATATTTTTTGGCTAAAATATTGGGTTAGCCGTTTTTAAAAACCGAGCCACAAATAAAAATCGTAATGCTGTCAACATATTCAAAAAAATTCGCTCGCATTCAAGTTCCTATGCAAAAAAGGAGAAACACATCCAAATTCGTGAAGGCGTTCAAGTTACTTTATACTCTAAAAATATTTTTTTAATTATATATAATACTTAAAATAAATAAATGCACATTATGATAACAGCATGTTAGCTGTTGGATTATTTTTTATTTTGTAATAAATATAGAAAATAATTTGTAAAAATAAAAAATTAATTTTTTTTTGGTTTTTCAAAATCATCCGCTGAATATGCTACAATATAATCGCATTCCACCGTGAGGATATTTCTGGAAATTTATAGTAAATAATTGATAACAAATTTTGATAGACAATCTTCATTTTTTACTAATTCTTTGACAAAAAAAAGAAATTTTAGAATAGTCTTTCTGTTCTGAAACTTATACATTTATTATCTATGAGTTTCTTTAAATATGATACTAATTTATTTTTAAATATTTCATTCTGTGAAAATCCTATCCAAAGCCAGTCATATGTTAAAATACAGGAAGTATTATGGAGGAAATAAGATATTGATCTTCAAAGATAAGCTTAAATCTAAAAAGAATAAAACATAAATATAATTGATTAATCAATACCATCTGATAATGCATTTAATAGCTGTTGATAATAAGTTAAAACATATATTTTTTTTAATTTTAAAATATAGTTATTGCAAGGGTCAAATAGGCCTAAAGCATGTTATCTCCACTTTCTAAAATGGAAAAAGTGATAGCTATTGGCTCCATTATCTATAACAAAATTTATATATAATTTTTTTAGGCTCATTAAGAATTGAAATACTTAAATTAGGACATGAAAAATATATCACCCGAGTTTGAACTATCATATAATATATATCTACAAACTTATGCATTATAAAATATAAACATCGCCGTTACTCTATTTTAATTAAGGAAGATGATATTAAGTTTTTCCAAAAAATAAAATAAATATTTATAATTTTTATTTACTTCCAGTGCCAGAATCGTCTTTCATTTGAATGAGCAATAAATGCTTCGATTTTTTCATAAAATCGAATTCCTATTAAATTTTTGAATACAAATCCAACATTTAAAATCGATTATAAATTATAAAAACTAGGAAATAATTCATTTTTACAAGAAGACGATAAAATATGTGGTAAATTCCACGACAAATCAACAAAATTAACACGATTTTCGGCCTGACTCTTTCAGATTAATTTGAAATTTTGTTTATTAATGTTACCATAATAAATTTTCCGATTTAAAACTCATTCCGGCGCTATTCAAAAGCAAAAATGGATGACAAATGGGAACCGATGGCAACAAAATGGACTGCCCCGGAGGGTCATGACGGCTGCACGTACCATATCCAGAGGAACGCTAATGATGATGCCAAAAGAAGGAGTAGATTCGATGTAGCAGCAAGATCAACAGGCGATTAATTCAAGAGCAGTACCCAGACAAGAAGTGTTGCGGTTGGTGCAAAATGGTGGTCAAAATGTTGATGGGGGGGGGGGGGGGGTAAAATGGTGGCCTTGTATTGGATAGGAGCACGGAAGAAAGAATGCAGAATTAAATGGAAGAGTTAGTAATTAATGGGTGTAAGTTTGTAATACAGAACATACAAGATTTTATAGTTAATTCAGGGATGCATATATATAAATATGTATTAATTTGTAATCATTTGGTAATTGATTTTTTTGTTTCGCTAAAAGTGTAATCCCGGATTTTTACTTTAAAAGGGGGTACATGTTTTTTTATATAAAAATAATATTGGAAAAAAAGGAATAATTATTATAATATTATCGATATTATCATGAATTTTTTGTTTTTGGAGAATCTGAAATAAAAAAAATAAGAAAATATAAAAAAGCGTAATACAAAAACCTTAGTAGAAAAAATGCTAATTTAGCTCATAGAGAACAAATGAATAATTGTGAAAAATGCTTTATGAAGCACTATAAGTAGAGAAACTAAGAGCACTCATCAACGAGAGGAATACCGGCAAAACTATTTATGTGAAGAAAACTAAATACATTAACAGATGAAGTCAAACCTACATTTATTGAAAAATTAAAAAAGTGAGTAAACCAAATTAGTTATAAAAAGGAAGTTATAGATCCTTATAGGAAAACGACTTAGTCGAAGTCGAGAATCCAATTAAAAAAATTTGGCATGAAGGAAAAGTAATAAATCATATAAGCTAACTTATCTTACAATGTGGAAAAAAAGGGAAAACATAGTGCGAAAACACGCCGATCAAACAAGGAAAGAATCAATATAGTTCGAATTTATTATAATAAATAAATAAAGAAACGATTCAACTAAATAGTTCTCAACATCGATATCCGACGAGAGAACGAAAACAAACAAAACGTTTAGTCGATGGCAATTTGAACTTATGGGATATAATGTATTTTATATAATATTAAGGCCATATATAGAAAAATTATAGAAAGAATTTGCTAGTTATTAATGATAACTTAGGAATGATTAAAAACATAGAACATTAAAAAAATACAATTAGAAGAAAACAAAATCCCTAGAAATAAAAAATGAAGAAGAAAATAAAATAACATTGAAAACAGCTTCATTGAGTATAAGAGTAACCTGGAGTATACCAATGATAGTACAAATTTTAAAGTGACATTAATTATTATTTTACTAAAAGACTATCACATTTTACCAACGTTTGAGGAATTAATTCATAAAATCGCAAATAAAAATAAATATACAACGATTTTAAAAGACGCGTATTTACAAGTGACTGTTGATGGATCGCAAGATATTGAAATATTATTAGTGCTATGGCAATAACAAACGGTAATCGTAATACTTATTTTTGGATTTTAGTTTCCGGCAATTCCCCTTAATATTTTTTCGTCAGTTAAATTGTTATATAATATTAAAGAGCTAAATCTATTATTAAGCTATTAAAATATATTTAAAGGAATATTCCTAACTCATATCCAAATATTTACATTCTAAAATTCAAAAATATAAATTTTGCCCTTTGAGCCCAATATATGGGCCCCGGGTGATGTTGAAATCATAAAAATTTTCTTAGTAACACAAATTTTTTAAAAAACTTAGGGGGGTCAGTCAAAATTTCTGTTGATTTGTCGTGGACGTACTTCTGTTATTTTTAATTTAAATTATAAGAGTTTCGCGATAAATTTTGTGGGGCTTATATTCTTTAAATAATGCATTTTAAATGGCATTCTCCATATTAGACAAAAAAAATTATTTCGCGTTTTTAAAAGAATAATTATTCCATATGGTCTATTAGAGAACGAATAAAGTGTTGGGAACACTATTATTAATCATAAATATATTTAATCTAAAATGATGAAAAATAGTGCACTTAAGAAACTGTAACAATTTTAAAAAAATATATAAAGTAACCCTATATTTTGTACGATATAAAGAAATTTTAAGGTGACCAAAAACCGCCAATATTTTTCCTTTATTACTTTATAAATGCTAAGTGTGGAGGTGACCAGAGGGAAAAAAATAAAGTTAATTAATCGTGGACATTTGACCTGCCAAATGTTTCTATACAGATTATGGTTGGGAATTGTATACCAAACTTCAATCTCTTTATTCTAACAAACAAAATTTAAGTTTTTTTAACGCTTCGTGTCAAGTGTAAAATATAGACAATCGGAGCTCTTCTCTATTTTATTATGACAAATTAAGGAGTAATTTTATAACTTAAAAGATTTAAATGATACTCAAATTCAAAAAAATATAAAGGCTTAAAATACTTGTAAGTCGGTTAGCTTGAAACTACGTTTTACAGGGCAATTTGTCCAGCTTTCATTCTCTAAGAACATTTTTATTTCGTCGACTTTAGAACTTGATTCCAAATTCGTAATATAAATTATAATTTTTTAAGTTAAATGGACTTTTATATTTGCAAGAGGTCAATAGTGGAAAACAGGGATAAATTTAAGGCCAAAAAATTAAATTATTGAAATTAAAAGAAACTTAAATTAATTAAATATTCAAAATTTACTGATGAAAAGAGTGAAGATAGTTCAAATTTTGACGCTTTATACTCTCTTCTAATGTTTCAGATATATCGATTCCAGAAAAATCTTTGCATACCTCAACAAATCTGTGAGTACGTTCATAAATATATTTATTTCCCTGATAAAATATTTGCAATTTTTTTATATAAAATAATGAGATACTCATGGAAAGGGAAATTAACCTTGCCGTACATTTTCAATCAGTAGATTAATTGGAGTATTGACAATTATCGAAGGGGGAGGGCTTATTAAACGTTTTAACGAAGTTCGCTCAATACATTTTAAACCGAATATTAAATATTAAGGATAATTAAAGTTTTGACGTCAAAATATAATGGCATATCAAACGATAAATTATATAAAATAAAAGCTGTTATTCGAACCCTCTAAATTCATTGCAAGATGTTGGCCAAATAAAATAAAAAATCTTTTGATTGATTACATTATCGAGGCAATTTAGAACAGTATTTTATAATGCTAATCTATATATTGGCATTATCATTTTTTTTAAAATGGTACATTCATTATACATGCAAAAAACTTGTTGATAGCTTGAAGATATAGCAGAAAATTTTCGAAGGAAATATCGTTAAAACGGTTTATCTTAGTCAGGTATACGTTGACCTTGTGTTGAATGTCTTGGCATACCCTAAGAACGCCATGCTTCAGTTTTTGGTAGATGTAATTGCGAGTGAAATCCTCCTCCAGGACATCTTTAGAAAAAATAGAGGTAAAAATTATTTAATTTTTTTTAGATTTTATTAAAATAAGAAATTTATTCTAGTCAATTTGGCTTTGACGAAAATGACACTAGCATGATATGTACTCGTTCTGTAAAGCCGGTCTGTCAGTTTCTATTAAATAGAATATTTATCAAATACGATCTTTAATGAAGCTACTGAAGATTTTCATTATTTTTAAATTATATAAATTTTAACACCCATGGCCCTTTAAACCTCGATTACTAAAGGTTTAATAAATCGTATTAAGTTGGATTTGGAACTCATTAGTGAATATTTAAACTAAATCTATTTAATTTTGAAATAAAAAATTTGACGTGTACCACAACCAGGGTTAGACGGGGTAGTATATGAAAATTTTGTAGCTCGTTACTCATTCATTTAAAATATTATTTTTTGGTGAAAAGGCATAGCAATATTGTAGGCTAATATTTTAAATTATATTATTTTAAAATTATTTATCATTAATTTTGGCCAGAAATACCTCTTATTATACATATACTATGGTAATAATAAATTATTGAAGTTTATAAAAAACATATATTTAAAAATTTATAATCAAAATATATCTTCAAATAACATTAAAATGACTAATTTTAAAAGAATGCATAAATAATTATAAATTAAATAATTGTGTTCCCAAAAAGAGCAGTAATTATAAAATTTTTGTCTAATGTATAGAAACTCTTTGGCTTAGTTGGAAAAATATATAACCCCTCCATTCACAGTTATGCGAATTCGTGGTGCTGCGAATTAGTGCATATTTTATATACTTCTTGGCGAATTCACGCTAACTGTGAATGCAGAGTAGCTTTGCTGCATAGATTTTTTAAAAATTTGAATATTATTGACGCAAAATGGATGTTTGTAAATATGACTATAGGAATGAAAAGAAAGTATACATCAAATAAAATCATCGTTCCTTTTTGGAAAAATAATTATTAAATTTATAATTATACATTATTTAAAAATTAATGAATAGAAAAATAAACTTGATATTGGAGCATCGGTTTGAGCATAATGATTCCGGTACCAATTTATAGTTTTGTAATAGCAGGTTAGAATATCGAAAAATCTGTAGAGCAGATCCATCAAGCAAAGGACTATGTATTCCTTGCCAACACACTGTTTAATGATTTTAATAATAATACTTAAAAAATCTTATTCTAGATTTTGAGATGGATCAAAATTTTTAAAAAACTTTTATTTTACTAAAGATAGTATAAAAAAGCAGTGTATTGAAAACATTAAAATTCTTTTCAAAGTTGTGGTCTAAGAGACTGAGTAATAAATATAAATTTACTTTATTAATCAAGTATTAAAATTTAAAAGGAAAAAACAATAATGATCTATTTTTCTATATAAATTCATATTATATAATATAATTATTTGCATAATCATTATTCTTGAATTACTAAAAATTACATCTCTCTATTATACCATAATTATTCAAATTTATATAAAAAAAACTATTTTTTCATACAAGTATATAACAAAATATATTACAGACCAATATTTATCAACTCATAATTTATGAATATATAATTATCATAACCAAAAGTACCAAATGATAAAATTTAGAATAATAAAAACTAACTATTATAACAGGAAAAATATTTCAAAAAAAATGTTTTGAATTTTAATTTAATAGTGAAATTTGACTATATCAACCATATATTAGACATCCTACTGAAATATTGAAAAACGATTGTTAACCCTCCCCTCCCATTTGTCTAATTAGTTTATTGAACTAATAGGTAAGTCGGTAGCTATATCCTTCCAATGATAACCAATAATAATAATATCACAAACATGTCTAATTAAAAAGTAATAATACAAACCGCACACAATTCTGGATATTGAGACCGTCTCATTATAGTCTTCAATGATTCAGGTTCTGGAGCAAGAGAAGATATTTGATCGATGGGGATCGAAGGATAATTTGCGATATCTCGCCGCTCTTTCGATTTACAATCATCTTCCTGTTCGATATCGAGCGAAACGTAAGATTTTACGACGTTCAGGGCATGGTTGTGAATGGCCGTGGCGTAATGCATGTGGAGTTGGTCCAGGGCTGTATGGCTTTTGCCTTTTTGTAGATTTTTTAAAATATTATTATTTCTTAATAAAAATTTCTTATAATTTAATATATTTCACAGGTAAAAATATATAAAAAGTAAAATATACAAAAAATAAGCAATATTTTAAATAGAAAATGTATAAAAATATGTTTTAAGGTTCTTTTGAAATTTCACCGAGATACGAGATTGATTTAGATTGTAATCCGTCGATTTTATCTTTTTGCCAAAGTTGTTAAAGTAGCGCACTATCACTAAAAAAAATAGCGATAGAGGGAGCGAGCTCCTTTTTAAAGTGGCTAAATAGAGCGCTACTTCGCTCTTTAAATTTTTTTATAATAACCATACACTATAAAAAAATACTAAAATTTATTTATAAATTAATAATTAATTTTATATTATATCTTTAATTGAAATTTATATTTCAAAAACTGCTTTATAAATCTAATTTATCAAGTAAATATAAAATGCCGCCAATAGAGATAGACATGATACTTTTAAGGCAGATGATAACCAAAAAATTTCACTAAAGAATGATATTATGGAATTACATTTCCCAAATTTGCAGAATATTTTAAACTTAATAAAAAAAATTAATAGAGGATTTAATATTCGATGCATAAAGTAGCGAAGGACAATTGAATACCTACATATTGTTCAATCTCATTTTTATCGGTTTTCTAAGATTAGCCAGTTTTTTGAATGCAAAATAGATTTGATTGCTCAACAATATCATTTAATATATGTTCATCCAAAAACATTTTAAAATATTGATATGATGTTAGAATATTTTCTGGAGGATAGGAATTTTTTTTTAGAAAATATTGTATCAAATGATTTAATATATTTTAATACCCAAATACATGAGATTAGGAATACTAGGGCCTTCATGAATATTATGAAGTTCTATATGGAGTGCATTTCTAGGTGAATCGATATCTATATTATCATTATCAATAGGATGATTAACCTAAAAAAAAACATTTTTACACTTTGAACCCTAATATCTCCAAAAATAATTATGGTTTTTAAAAAAAATGAATTGTACAATTCAAAACAACTTTCTTAACCGCTATGCAAAATGTCATTTGATTTGAAAGAGGTCCAGGGTAGATTTCACATGGAATGGCCCAAAGACTAGATCATTAGACACTTTACCATCGGAAAACGATATGTGTATTGGTTAAAGGAGAATTTTTTTAATGTGAGGAGATGGAGGGGACTGTTAAGGGTAGAATTTTGACCCTGACCCAATTTCTGCGAAAATCGAAGTTAGAATTCTAATCAGGTTATGAAATGATTATGATTATAAATTGAGATTTTATTGTGGTTTAGGTAGATAAATCATTAGATATAATAATTAGACAAACATAAATGAAAAATAATAAAAAGATTACCCAACAAATTTTGAGCTTTAAATAGTTGTTCGTATAATCCGTTAGGTGCCCACGCATCATTTTTTATACCGTCAAATTCGTTGATATCAACGGAAATCTTTGAACTTTCGGAATTTTCGCATTGGACTTTATCGGAAGTGGTAGTCCGACCAAAAGATTGATCCATCTGTTCTTCTATTAAGTCGAGAGTATCTTGAATCTTGTTATTCAATTCGCTAATCGTCATAAAAAATATAAAAAGAAGTTTTGAAAAATTGGTGATATTTTGTGACTCTCTTTCATTATATTAGCCTTAAAATGAGATATACATAAATGATGCACTCGAAAGATTGGTCCACAAGCCATCAATACCCCCTTATGCCCAAAAAGGTAAGCGCTGGATGGCCATATATAGTTTATATTAAAAAAAAATATTCGATTATAGCCATTTTATTGCAAAACAAAATAATAGGCGAAGATGAAACATCTAAAAAAATTGAAAATAACTCGTGTCAGATGCTAACTTATAGCACATTTTATGGATTAACCTACGTGTTTGACTCACAAGATTAATTTATGATTGATTCTATCATCATTTGATAATGTAGTAGACAGAAATATACCCCAAGTGTCTGACAAATATCTTGTGATATGCCGAATAGATAATCCACTTATTTCAGATATTACCAAGTAAGATGGCATCAAAGTACTCTAAATGATCTTTCCTATTCTCTGGAATTATTAGTTTAAGTTTTTTTAAACATATTCTATAGTGAATATCATAATATGATTGAGGGACTTTTTCTGTTTTTGATTTCAAAGCTTTTTGTGGGTACTTTGCGTCAAATGTCAAAACTACCCAGCATATTGATATGTTCTCCTTGAAAAAGAGTAATTGTGGAAATAAACTCCCCTAATATATTTTTGAGGGCAAATCGCTTTTTAGCAGTTAAAAAATATTTCCTTGTGTATTCTTTTGCAGCAAACACTACACCGCTGTAATTATAACTAAATTTAATGAAATCGGCAAGGATTGAAATTATTCCATTTGTTACAAAGGGTAATGCATTATTACCCCTGCCTCAAATATGATGTAATAAAATATTATAAAGAAATGCTTTGCCTGAACTACCATAGTCATCATACCGTGTGGTCAAAATTCGGTTTATTATATCGTTAATGATCTCAAAAACAATCATGAAAGATCATATTAATCTTAGGTAGAATAATACCTTCAGATAAAAATCTAATTTGCTCCGATCTTTTAACATCAGCAAAGGTTTTAAAGCTTAACGCAAAAGATTTATATCCCGAATATGAATATCTGATTCGTATGATAATAGGATCATGAGCAATATTGGCTTCAGAGTGTAATCACTTTTAAAGGGCTTGTGATGTTTCTAAACTTAAAGTTGTGCAAGTATGATCGACATTATGTTGGAGATATAAAGAAAAAATAGATGAAACATCTGGTCATGATTGTTGGAACAGTATGGATCATGACCGGGAATATATATGAAATCGACAGGGAATATTTATGAAAAACAAATGCACTAGTAAAATCCTTTTCTACTTCAAAGCGGCGGGGGGGGGGGAGGGGGTCTGGGATAGAATTGAATCATCGTCTCTTCAGCAGGTTGCAGAAACCAGCGAAAGTGGTTGATGTAAAAATGGCAACCGATCGTAAATATTTTTCTCCACTACCTCCTATGAGCACAACGGGATAAACTCCGAAATATAACGTGGGCGCATTCATCTGCCTACGATATAAAAGATTATGGGGAACCTGGTTGATCTGCAATCGCGAAAGCGAGATATATGACGGTCATAAACTACAAAGAAAAATAGTTGTCTTAAAAGAATTGTAATGTAATAAATGTGTAATGTATTTTTATGGCTATCTGATGTAAAAAAAAAAAGAAGAAAAAAACATGTATAAACATTAGTAGATAGATCTAAGTCTTCTTAAAAATTGTTAAGTAGATATAGTTTACTTAAAATTTTTATAGATATATAATGTTTACTGCTACATAGATTTTATAAATTATTACCACTAATCTAATAAAAACTCTTCTTATTGAATGATGAATAAGTAGAAATACCTAGTATTTCTAATTTATAAGGTTTTGATTTATCAAATATAGTAAATTTTGGTATTAGACTTTTTCGGATAAAGGAGGGTTGTTTTTTTCAACGTCGAGACTTATGACATTCGCAGCTATTTTTTACTAGATAGCCGTCATCCAAAGTAAAATATATTGTAGAGGTGATTGTTTAAGCATTTTTTTAATAATTGCTATTATATGGGGCTTGATTGCATTTATGATTTTTAAGTATATCAATATTCAAAATTAAAAAAAATATATATTATGACAAATATTTTTATTCCTAGAAATTTTTATGGGAGGGGGGGGGGTTATTTTTCCAGGTATTTTTTCAAGGGGGTCCCATAAAAAAAATAAATCCTATTTTTAGTATTGTTAAACAGCTCGATTTGAGCCGATTTTCAAAAATGCTAACTCAATATTTTATCCAGAAAAATATAACACAAGCCTGAAGATTTTACACATAGTGGTACAAAGGTGGACATCTATTAGCAAAATCTCGAGGCATAGGCAATATATTTCTGGCTGAATAATTGAGTTAGCTCTTTTTTAAAAATAAGATCGAGCCGTTTGACAACACTACTTATTTTGGCTAAAAAATATATAACATGTCGAACGTGTAATACCTTAAACACTTGAAATAATTATATTTTATTATTTCTTTTCGCGATTCTAGGCAGAGCTTGATAGCAGAATAAAAATTCCTTTGTCTCAAATTATCGCGTAAAGAGTCGTCCGATTGATACTACATATTAACAAATAATTACAAAAAATTAATTTGATCTGAAAGCTGTAAAAATATTATTTTTTTACCAGTTGTTGAATCATTTTCAATTGGATTAAGACTGATTTACAATTTCGTATCTTGTTGCAATTCTTTAGAAGTAACAAAGCTGATTGTGACAATGAATCAAGGGTAGATTTGATATGGCTAAAAAAATATATATAATGTAGACATTCTGGCCAACATTTTATGCGGGGACAATTTATCCGCGAACAGTCTCCAAGAGATTTCCTCCGTAGGTATATCTGTCTGAGACATTCTGCCCCCGCGAATATCTTGTCTTAGCACAGTAATAATATATCAAAAACCTTCTGGAATCCTTCGATATTTGAATGGCAATTTTGAGTTCTGATTGCAAAATTTGAACTTTTTTCAACTCGGAAGAGTAAAGTAGGCTTTTTTGAAGGATTGAATCAGATATTTTCTTGGATAGCTTAAATAAATAGAATAATAATTTTTGATAATAATAACAATATTAGTACATGATGTGCAGTTATCAAAATAATATATTTTTTTGAAAATATGGTTTAAAATATATTAAAAATCTGGCAATCGAGATGCAAAAATGAGAGAATATGGTATTACAAATTCATCTAATTACATAAAATAATTCTCTGAAAATGCATTAACGTTTTATTTGATTTTGTAAATGGTGCTGTAGCTAGGGTTTGCATGATTTAATCAAATTTGTTTAAATGGCTAAGATCCATTTTTCTTTTAAATAAAAATCATGAGTAAAATCAATTTTCCCTATTGTTTATAATTTTAATAAATTTATTTTTAAATAAAAAACCTTTATATTATAAATAATAGTGAGTTAATCTAGAAATTAATTTTTTAATAAAATAAACTCCTATAAAAAGATCATTTTAATTAATATTGGTTAAATTGTTAAATTCCAGGAGATGTAAATAGAACTACATTTTAATATTTAAATATATTACCTAACAATTTTTTTAGCCACCTTAATAAAATAAATGGTAGATTTTGCGCTTTTTTCCATTTGCATATACTCAGTGAATTGTAATAAAAATTATATAGATATTGTTGAGGTGACCGGATTTGGGCTCATGATACTACGTAAGCCATTGTAATTATCTGAAATACTTATTATTTTATTTGGTTATTATACGTTTAATAATTAAGTGTAAATTGATTTTGTGACTTTATACTCCTAAAGTATACTTATTATTAATCTAAATTATTTTTCAAATATATATATATAGATAAGCGATAATGGTAAAAATTGTAACATTTTGATGTTTTTCTAAGGATTGAGAGATTAGAACCGTTGTCAAATAAAGAAAGGTTAGAACTAAAATGATACTAAATCAGACAAATATCCTCTATTATATATACTTTTCTATAATATTCGTCAAATAAAGAAAGGTTAGAACTAAAATGATACTAAATCTTTATTAAATAATAAGATAAAAACATAATCAAAATAAAATTAATATAAATTAAAATTAAAAATTAAAGATTAAAAAAATTAAGTTAGTAAAATCATAATTTAATCATCATTTTTCGCATCATCATTTCTCCTTATATATCCTTTTTCTTTAATCAACATTTGCATAGTCTCAATTTGTACCGAGATTTAATTCTTGTAGATTTGAATATCTTTGGGCTTCGTAATTTTGCTTAAAAGTAATTTGCCTGTCTGGCGTTTTTCTTAATCTAGTAAATTTGCATGTTATCACAATTACAACACCTTTCCACTTAGATTAGTCCCACCATTCTGGATTTTGACTTTACTGATCTTGTTTCTCCACCGAATCTATTCGTCTTAATCTTTAATGTCTTCTAGTTTCTAACGACGCGGTCTATTGTCTAATATTCTTCACTTCTAAGGACTGTTTGTATCCGATTACAATCTGAAATTCTTGATTCCTTCTGTTTCTTGTCAACACCTTGTAAACGATTATCTCTTGATCTCTATAGGCCATTGACGAATCTGTTATCATGATTCCCGATACATTCTTCTAGCTCTTTTAATTATATTTCGTTTTAATCCCAAATTATCCTAGTCTTTGCTTGTTTCTAACGGTTTCTAGTAACTAATGACGGTAAACGACTGCTGATAAATTGTCTGCGAGTAACGATAATTTTCACGACTTCTTGTTTCTAAGATCATCGATTTTTTTATCCTATATTAAAGTTTTGATAAGCAACTGGCGATAATTTGTCAACGATTAACGATAGCATCCTGGTCTTGACCACTTGTTCTACCTAGTCGCTTGTCAAGATATCCACGTTGTCTTAAGATCTCTTATACGATAATGATTTCTTGTATCTTTTGATCCAAAATAAAAAATTCGATCTCTAATTGAGCTCGATTGCGGCATAAATTTCCTAATGACGAAAAGCCGTTTCTCTTTATGAAGATTTTGGTTAATCAACAACCTGATATTTTGCTAAATATTATCAACTTAAATAACAGTTAACCGTATATCTTTAATAAAAATTTATAACGAATTTCTTTTTGCTACATCGATCACTTGTACGTATAACGATCTCTTGTGATGAATTCGTTTTAATTAAACGACTAATTCTATTCTTTTTCGAATTACGACCATTGATATTGACACCATGTTTCATTGACCTCATTCTTTGTCTTTGTGTCAATAGTCATTTCATACATCCCCTTCCCCCTTTATTTAGAATCTCTTTTCAGAGTTAATTAGACTGAATTATTATAATGGCCCGGTCTCCTCCGCTCTCCAACACCAATGTAACATTTTGAGAATTTAGAAAGATTGGGTGATTAGAACCGTGGTAAATAAAGAAAGGTTAGAACTAAAATGATACTAAATCAGACTAATATCCTCGATTATATATACTTTTCTATAATATTCGTCAAATAAAGAAAAGTTAGAACTAAAATGATACTAAATCTTTATTAAATAATAAATAAAAACATAATCAAAATAAATTAATATAAATTAAAATTAAAAATTAAAGATTAAAAAAATTAAGTTCGTAAAATCATAATTTAATCATCATTTTTCGCATCATAATTTCTCCTTATATATCCTTTTTCTTTAATCAACATTTGCATAGTCTCAATTTGTACCGAGATTTAATTCTTGTAGATTTGAATATCTTTGGGCTTCGTAATTTTGTTTAAAAGTAATTTGCCTGTCTGGCGTTTTTCTTAATCTAGTAAATTTGCATGTTACCACAATTACAACAAAAATGTTCAAATTTATTTTGATATTAGTTTTTCTTCGTTTGTTAAATAATAAAATTTGATAAATGATTTTTATAAAACGCGTAAATTCTTAATAAATATTACATAAATTTCCTTAAAAAATTACATAAATTATTATTATTACCCAATAGTCATTCATAAATTATTTATATTTTGCTATAATATACTTTATATTTTTATTTATAACCTAATTCATATTTTAATCTGCTTATTCGCCCAATCTCATTCAAAAATGAGGAAATTTGATTAAAATATGTCATAATTCGTATAAAATTTCCTATTCCCAGAAGTAATCCGTGCAGATGAATAGTTTTATTCGCGACTCGCGAATATTATTTAATAATTTCACTTATTTCCCATCTTCATTTTCACAAGGCAATACATCTATTAGATTCGAACTTTGGACTTTGGATGGCATCGTATTGAGGTATTCGTGAACCTTAATTCGCATGTTGACTAATAAAACCGTGTGATCGTTTTCAAAAAGACTCAATTTTCGACAAATTGAGGGGAATTATCTAGATGTAGACATCCGGGGTCGGGGAGTGTTACAAAGAATATTTACCAAGTGGCTGGGTCTTAGACTAATATGGCGTCTATGAAGGGGGAAGGGCGATGAATCTATATCTATGCCGTTAGGAAAGCCAACTTTTTAGTAAAGCTACCGATGAAAATAATTAGGGAGTTATCGTAGACTCGTAGGAAAGCCTGCTAAAAAATATAGTAAGTGATGAATAATTTATTCTCCCATAATTTAACCCCTTTTTTAAAACTTCGTATAAGCCGTTCCAAAGAAAACTAGTTCTTTTCTTTCGGGAATCGATTTTTAAAATCTTGAACTACTAACGAGGTGAACCTTAAAAATTTTGTCTCCCGAATGAACCAAAATTCTAAAGGTCTGTGAACCGGCTTTAACCTTTTGATATCCTAACTCTTTTAAAAAACAATAATGTTTAGCTAAATATTAGGGCTGTGCTGATTTAAAAAATTTTACCGATCCAATTCGATATTCAAACAAAAAAGATCCAGTAAACGATATATTTTGATTGATTATTGTTTACCATCTATCTTTAAACCAAGATCATAAAAAATCAATATTTTCTATGTAAAAAAAATAAATAACTGTAAACACTAGGCAAAACAAGACAACTCATTAAAATATGGGCAATGTGACGGGTTAAATAAAATCTTTTGCAAATAATTTAATTAAAAAAAATATGACATTTTTTAATTACTTTTTCTTTTAAAATAAGGATTTTTTTTAAACATTACAAATAAATAGAATGTTGGTTTATTTCATTCATTATCATTTGAAAATTATGTGTAAAATTTTTCTAAAAAATTAGAGCGTAAGTGTCTACACATGCTATATATTTCCAGCAAAATGACATTTTTTAAATTTAAAAAAAAACATAAAAATATATTTTACATTGAAAAAACTGACTGAAAAAAAATATACTGATACAAACATATTGTAGGCTGAGAATTAGTGTTATATGTTTAAATGAAATAAGTATGTTAAATAAATATTATCTTCCAGCTTTTAAAATTGCTGAACAATTTTCTAAAACTATGGTTAAAATAGCTGAATTGAATTAAGATGCATTAATATTATTTTATAGTTAAAAGTTAAAAAATTGCAAGAAAAGCAATAATATAAATTATGAATAATTACAATAAGCATAGTGGCTCAAGCCCAAATGTGCATTTGAAATGGAGGTCCCAGGTTTGATACTGGTAGATGGGAAAAAATAACATTACACTATATAATTTCCTTAAATTTTAATAATTTAAGATGATACATGTTATGATTATGGTGATTATATATATTATAGATATATATTTAATTAATTATTTTAAAAATATTTTTGTTTAATAATTAAAATTATTTTTTTAAAAGATGATACTTAAAAGATTATTTTCTTTATAATTTAATTTTTGTATTTACATGATTGGGGAGGTAACAGTTGAAGGAGGTCAACAGTACATATGGAGTAATATTTTTTATAGTTGTTTTTTTTTCATAAAACATTAAAAACAAATTTGATGGCAATGCTTAGGGGTCAAGAATATTTGGGGTGATTGTCCCTGATTATGGCTCTAATTAGTGTTGTTAGATGGCTCAATCTAAGCCATAACTCAATATTTAGCAGGAAAAATATTGCCTAAGCCTTGGGATTTCACTAATAGATGTCTAAACCATTGTGTCATCTATGTGCTAAACTGAAACTAATTGTTTTATAATTAATAACAAAGTATATGTATTATTATCATTATATCATAAGGTAAAGCTATGACTTAAAAAAAAATTATCAATATATAATTATTTTAAAAGGGCATGACTAAATACGAGCCCATGAAAACTAGGCACCCCTATGCGCCCCCTATCAAAGAAGCTTAATTTAAATTATATTATTACAGAATCGTATTTAGCTTCATAAGATGAGTTAGAAAATGTTTTTTTTTATTTTAAAAAAATGGCAAAATAGTAAAATTTTTAAAAAAGTTTAGTCAAAAAAGAAGAAATTAAGTGTATTTTTAAAATCTCAATAAGTTATAAATAATTTAAAACTTAGTAATAACATTTATTGATTCCTTTTAATTGGTGCTGTGAAGTAACGTCAAAAAAGTAACGCCATTCGTTACCTTCTTCTAGTGGTAACGAGTAACGGTAAAGCGTTTCTTATTTTTGAGTAACGGTAACGCAAAACGTTACTCGTTACTTTATATATTTTTTTAAAAATATCAACAAAAAGAAAAACTTAAACCTATTTTATTGTATTATAAAATTATTTTTATTTATTATAAATAATTTAATCCGAGTTTTAATTCATATCAACCACTGCCTTCATTTTTATTTTAAATTCTCGTTGTTAAATTTTCTGTCAAAATTAATATTCAATCAAAATTCAAAGTAAATGTTAATAATGATATTATTATTCTTATAATTTATTTTAAGAATATTATGTCCATAGTACTTACTTCTTCAGGTGAAGATGATTTAACCCTTCCCTGGCCCCAAATTTGAAATATATTTTAAACAAAGAAAATAAATGGTAATAAGTCTACACTTTGGAAATGTAAATTATAACCCAACACAAATATTTCAACCTCAATGTCCAGCAGTTCAAACTTCAAAGATAAATTAATATATCATTATTTTAAATATTACTTTAATAATAGAATAATATTTTGAAAAGCTTAATCATGGAATTAAAATATAAGTAGGGCTGTGTCGATATTAAATATCGGATCGGATAGGCACCGATATTTAGAATTTTCCAAAAATATCGGATCGGGCCGATACCTGTAAAAAACAGATCCGATCTTTTTACTTTTCTTTTTTTTTTGTTATTTTATTTTATGTTATGTATATTTATTTTACATTATTATAATATTTTCTAAATAATTTTTTTTTAAACAATGCAAATGCACATCCTTTAAATTTTATTCTTTTTTAAAATAGATTTATAGTATTTTAAAAGTTTTTTTTATTAAAATAGAAAGGAACACCCAAAGTTTTAATTATTAAATCTTTTAAAAAAATAACGCCAATTTTATTAATTATATTTTAAATAAAAGAATATTTTTAAATATGGTATCTGAATTATGGAAATATTTTACAAAAAAGACAAAGATAATTTTGCAAAATGCGTTATCTGTGGAATCATCTGAGTTTACCTTCAGTACATCAGGGGATATAGATACTCCATATCGTAGAAGCTTATTGCCAGAAAATCTAGAGGCTCTTGTATTTATTTTAAAAAAATTTATATATTATAATTTTTTATATTAAATATTTTATAATACCAAAATAAAATGGATATATTATCAAATATATGTTTTAATTATAGTCTTAATTGTAGAAATAAAAAAAATTAAATTAAATGCTAAATTTGATTTTTTGCATTAAAAATATTGATTTTTTAATTATATTTGGTTCAATATAAATATCGGATCGGTATCAGTATTGCATCAGTTTTGGAGCAATATTGGATCGGATTGGTGAAAATATGTGTATCGGCACAGCCCTAAATATAAGCAATTAAATTATACTACAGTATTGGGCTGGAAACCAATATTGAAAACCCAAAATTAGTGTTGGTTCAAAGTATTATATTGAGTTTTTTATATCTTCTATTTCTTGTTTTAGTATTGCTATTGGTTTGACTATTATTGTTAATAAATTTAAACAATAAAAATAGTGATTTTAAAAAACTTTGTTTAAATAAATAAATATGAAAGAGTGCATAGCCAGGATTTATCCAATAAAAAATTTTTACAGAGAATTTCATTATAGATTTTATTTATTATTAAAATACTATATATAACATCCCATTATTTAACCAGCTGTGAGCACTAAGCGCTCTGTGGTTTGTCTGATCAAAATTTTGAAATCAATTGTGCTAAAAATAAATAAAAAATTGTTACATAAAGATGTTATCTTATAATAATATTATTTTTGTATAATTTTATTTATAATATAATTAAATATATGAATATTTTTTTTATAAAATGATCTTATATATTCTTTTTGTATAGTTTTATTTTAATATATATTGTTGGAAAAAAATCATTATTATTTTTGTATATTTAATTTTTTTAGGTAACGAGTAGCTTGCTTTTTTGAAAAGTCAGTAATGCGCGTTCCTTTTTTGAAAAGGTAACGAGTAACACATTCCTTTTTTAAGATGTAACGAATAACGGTAACGTGTTTCTTTTTTGTAGTAACGTTTAGAGCACTAATTTTAATAAGTTATATATGATTCTGTGTTCATTTTTTATATATTAAGCTTCCTTTAGAGGGGGTGCATAGTTTCGTCATGTAAAAAATAATTTTATAAAAATTTTACTATGTTGGCATTTTTTTAAAATAAAAAAAAACATTTTCTAACTCAACTTATGAAGCTAAAGATTCTATGTTAATATAATTTAAATTAAGCTTCTTAGATAGGGGGCCCATGATTTTTTGTAGCTCATATTTTAGTCATGCCCATTTTAAAAAGCTTAAAATTGCAAATATTTGTTTTTTGAGTTAATATTGAATGTCATTTTATATTAAACATTTTTAAAAAATTGTAATTTAATGGAGAAAAATTTTTATAACATATATTTTATACTATCTGCAATTGGAAACGTAATTTTGATCTATCTGCATATATATCATCAAGATTAGATATTTCATTCTGAAAATGTTTCTAAGAATAAAATTAAAATTTATTTTTTATAATATATTACTTCTAGGATATATTTACAAGCATTAAAAACGTTTGGATCTTGGAAAAATACTTCCTCAATACTATTTATTATATCTCTTTCTTCGTTGGGATTATCAGTACTTTTTATATAATGTTGGGTGTAAGCTTCCTTTATCAAGTTATCAAATGTATCAATGTTGGAAGAATTGACATAGCTGAGACCAGATTTAGAATTCATAATGACATTTTATATATATTTTCAATTTTCTGATTTCATAATTTCATAATTCCATTATTTTTCATAATATTTAGTAAAATTAAAATCATTTAAAATCCAAACGTCTTCAATTTATTTCATATGATCATATCGTGTATACTAAAACCATATAAGATATCTATCATATATATTTGACATAAATCACGTGACATTTGTAGAATCGATTTCCATCATAATTGTCCATATATAATCATTTAGTCATTTATTAGTTTATATAAAGTATAAAATAGCAAGAAACTATTATAACGCAATTATTACTTCAAATTTTTTACCGTATTTTATTACTCCTATTCTAATCTATTTTTGAAAGGTTTTACCTTGTATCTTACATATTTGTTATTTATATATGAAAATTGTATTAATTTATATAAATTGTAAAATTAATGTTAATTGTAATATTAATTTAAATTGTAATATTAATTTAAATTGTAATATTAATTTAAATTGTAATATTAATTTAAATTGTAATATTAATTTAAATTGTAATATATTATTTTTAAATATTAAATTTTCTGAATATAAAATATAAAATGATGACTTTAACTTATCTAAATTTATCATTCACGTAGATTTGTAATCTAATATTAAAGTATTTTCAATTTTGCAAATATATTCTAAGCTTTCAAGGAAAAGAGAGAATATAGTAATAAAATATAAAAAATAATTTTACGATTACCTAATTCGCTAAAAATATTAGATTCTCTTTCCATATAAAAAGCGTAACTCTAGCAAATATTATTTTCAGTTTTATTTTCTTTCTTTTTATCTTTTTTCGTTTTATTTTCTTATTTTGATTATTTTAAAACGATTTTATAAACATATTATATTAACATAATCTTTCTTTAAATTGACTTTAAACGCCATAAAATTTTTATTATATTTTAACTTGTTAAACAATTTATATTTTTATTATTTTAATTTTATATTCCGAAAATTTATTTTTCATTTTGAAACTAAACTTATTATTTACATTAAAAATTCTCATTTTTTTATGTATACTTATTTGGTCAATAAATTTCATATAAAAGATAAATTTTAAGATATATTACTTTTTTGAAAATTGATTGTGAACGGAAATAAAATGAAGAAAATATAATATTGCTTAATCGTGATATAAATTAATAAAAAAAAACTATTAAAAATTACTTGTTTTTTTCTACATAAAAGCTATTTTATTTATTAAAAATATTAAAATTTTAGATTTTGAGAAAAATTTTTAATATGACAATTTTGTTAAATTTGTTTTATAAAATTTTCAAATAAAAAAATGTAAATTTTAGCATTAACTATTAGGAAACCTTTATAAAGTATTTAGGATTAAGAATATAAAAATGGTAAAGTTATTTTGACATATATATCATATCATTATATAATAGGATATATTTCTAATGATTAGAAGGAAAACGACTACCGTTTTTTTAGATTTGAAAGAAAACTGTACTGTATCTGAATTGAAAAAAATGATTGAAGGCATAACAAAAGTCTCACTCAAAGATCTACAATTATATAAAGACGATAATGGACAATATTCTACATTAGATGATGAAAAGATATTATCTGCATATGGTTTTACTTCAAATATTGCAAAAGCCCAAGCCCCTGCCACTATAGTATTAACTTTTAGACAGGAAGGTTTTATAATAATGTTTTTCCATATATAGTCCTTACTATGATATTTTATAAAAATAGATGGAAATTTTGAGACGCCGTTAATAACACCCTTATCATCTCCACCTGAATTACCTGATGTTATGAAAACTCAAGAAATTAATGCTAATGAACAAGCAACATCCTCATCATTTTGACATTTTTATATATCTAATGCTTTGGTTTTGTTATTATCCTAATGATTTAATTAATATAAGATTTATATACAATGTAAATATATAACTTTTCAATTATATGTTTAATACATTAGAAGTATACTTAAAATTTTATCATGTCATTAACTTTTTAATAATACCTTAGTTCTGCATGATAATTATTCTAAATATCAATAATTAATTTTTTAATACATATTTATTAATTATTAAAAACTAAATATATGACTAAAAATTTTCCAGTATTACTTTATGTTTAAAAAATAACTATATATTTAAAAATAAGAATGTTTTGTTATATCAAAAAATTTGATATTTATGTTCTAAACATTTAATTGATAGTTGTTTGCTTTGTAAAGTTGTCAAGGTGTAATTATAACAAATGTCTGAGCTAGAGAAGGCCAATTGTTGAGTCTTAGCATGGCTTTTTTTAAAGCTAGATCATAATCAAGATTTTTTTATTACTTAAGATAGCATTATGATTCATTTAATTTTTTACTTAATTCTTATATATAATTTATTACCTACTAGTGGAGGGATTTTAGTTTTTGTGATTCATTTTTATTTTGCCATAAATTTTAAAACAAAAAGTTTATTTAAAAAATTTATTTAAGTCACAATAAAAAATACAGAATAATCCACTACAATTTCACATTTTACATATTGTTAGTAACAAGTAATCCTAAATGATTTAATATTCTAAATAAAAATATTAAGTTCCTCTGCTAATTCCTTTCGTTCCACAAACAGACATTTGCATTTCTTTAAATGAAATATTTACAAATTTTTCACCAATCTGGTATGATATTGCTATAATCCAATATAGATTTTTATCTACAATCTGTCTTTGGACCAATGTCATAAAAAATCACTATTTTTTAATAATAATAAAACCAACTAATTTTCACAAATTATTAATAGTATTTGGGATTTTTTATCCTCTAAAAGTTAATCATTTTATTTAAAATATGGGCAAAGTTCATATCTGAATGTAGTGTTTCTAAACAGCTAGATTTCGCCCGATTTTTAAAAACGACTAGATTAAGAGCCAAGATAATATTTCCTAAGCTTCGAAATTTTGCCAATAGATATCCACATTTATGTCATCACTCTTTGAACAAAATGTAGTAACCTCGGTGTTTTTATTATGGCTAGAATCTTGAATTAGCCATTTCCAAAAATCGAATCATTTATAAACATTAACTGAGTGTAACTCTTTAGATAAATTTAATCCTTTTCTTGTTGCAGATAATATATAACAATAAATGGTACCAAATTTTTAGTTATAATAATTCGATTCTTTTTTTTAAACATTACAAATAAATCAAAATTTTATACTTTTTATCCCAGCAGAGGTGCCATTAGCACGTCCCACAGATATTTTTTAAAAAAATTTTGGCCTGGCTCAGGTTTTATATTTTCAGGCCTGGCCCGAATTTTTTTAATATATATATAATATTAATTTTTATAGATGATAATGGCATTTTAAAAAATTTTAGCCCTAGCCCGGTATATTTTAAAAAATTTATATACGGGCTGAGCTTAGGGCTGCGCTTGCAGGTCTCTACCTTTTATTATGAAATTATGTGTAGAATAATTATATATACAATCATAAAATATCAGATCGGTTTTTTTGAAAAATATAGGCCCGAAATGTAATTTGATTTGATATTGTTAAAATAAAATACTTTTGTATTTAATAAAATGGTGAACAAAAATCAAATTATGACCGGTTTTTTTAAAGGCTCTGGTCCAATATTTGGTCAAGTCAGGACCATGACCTTTAATAGTCTAAACTTTGGAATAAAAATTTTAACATTGGACCTAGGTTTGGACTTTAAAAAAAATAACCTAGAAAATAATGTTTTCTCTTGTTTTCTAAGAATAAAATAACAATTAGGATTTATCTAATATAAAAATATTATTTACAACAATTTATATATTGTTATTAAATTTTTGCGCTGGGCTTGGGCCTAAAATATAATATATATCAAGGCTTAGCTTTGGCCTAAAAAGAATTTACTATTCTTTTTAAACTAATGATCCAATCGCGCCGATAATTCTCACTTTAAAATCCGTTTTATTGAAGCAAAATATTCGCTTTAAAATCCTTTTCTATGATTTCTTTATTGAAAGGCGGCAGATTAATTTAATCTTCATTTAAATTATTATGATTTTTTAAAATTATCATGATTTTTTAAATTTATTATGATTTTTTGAAAATCATATATGTTTTTTATAAACGAATGCACTTTTAAAAAAATATATTACATAAGTTCAGTCATCAGAGTAACAACTCATTCCATTGCAATACAACTCTAATAATAGAATCTCAAAAATTAGCTATGTGAAACTAGAATACAACAATTATAAGTTTGGCAACTATAACCCAAATGCATAATTTATGCCCCTCTTGCCATAAATATACTAAAATTACCAAAGCCAGAAAGTTTCAAGTTCATGGCCCCCCATCCTCTAGATGCCTAGGTTCAGGGTTACCATGCATAACACCTACAGATCCTCCTCCATTCTGCCTATTAAATTTATCAAGCCATCCCCCGCCTATTGTTGCTACCAACTTGCCCCCTAGTCAGCAAACTCCCAACTTACAATCATGGGCCAATGATTTTTTATCAGTACCCAATGTTTCCACCATATCCCGTATTCCGCGTGGTGCTCGCAATTCTTTTGCAGAATCCTTTAACAAGTTAATCTTATTAACAGTAAAAAATCCTGCAAACCTATCACATTGGAAAAACTTAATAAGTTTTACCAATTCCACCCTTAAAATTCCCGACAATTCCAATTATCTAAACAAATTAAAACTTCAATATCTCTGTTCAACCCTGACTCTATTCCAACCCCTACACCTCAGACCCACCATTCCAATCCACTCCCTATTGCCCTTAAAGCTAAAATAGTTTCAAACAAAATAAACAGCCTTAATATCAATTCAGCCCTTCGGGTCATGACCTCTGAAGATTCCTTAGCTCCAAACAATGAATCCACTCTAGAAGCCTTGCTTCTAAAACACCCTTCATGTGATTCAGAATTTGCCTTCTCAAGCCAAAACAATCATATAGCCCCCGAAATCAACTCTGATGAGACGATCAAAGCTGTCAGATCTTTCAAAGGAGACTCTTCTGGAGGCCTAGATGACATTCGTGCTATTTTTATCCAAGACATTTTAAAACCTAACATATCATGCAAAGCCCTCTTGCAGAACCTTACCAGGTTATTAAATTT